ATTTCGAGCAAATGTTTAGAAATATTGATATTCGTCGTGAAGACTAAAAATGAAAGTATCTTTCTGTCTTTCAGTTATTTTTATGCTTTATAAGAGAAACATTGACATTTTCGTGTGAAATAGCTTTTGTGTGGTGATTTTGACGAACATCATCAAACGAAAGCTTCTTTCAAGTTTTTCCTATTTTATTAGGGCTCAAATTTGAAAGTTTTTTTTCGGGTATTTTCTTTCCACCGTCTTCAAGCTGGACAAGGTAAACTTAGGTTTTTTTTTTGGAAAGTCCTTTTCGGGTAGGGAATTTCTAATGAATCTTCAAAAAGCTTCCATATTTCGAAACCTTTTTAATTTCGACTCAAACCGTAGGTTTTTTTCAACATTTTGAAGTTTGACAAGGTAAAAGATCGCTTTTAGGTGGCAAATTTCAAGTGAATCTTCAAAGGAAAGCTTCCAAGTACCGAATAATTGTTCTTTTCCGTTAAGATCCACATTTACAAGTATTCTGCAGATGCTGTTAAGTACGAAAATTAGGGCTCTTACGTACGATCTTCGTATTTGACAAGGTAAATATCTCTTCAAAAATTGCTTTTGGGTGGCAAATTTTAAGCACTTCTTCAAACAAAAGTTCTCAAGCTTGAAAACTTTCCTTTCCGTTTAGGCCTGCAACTATTAAAGCTAGTAGAGTTAAAAACCAGGTGATTGTTCACTAAGTGGAATTTTCAAGCTAATTTTCAAATAAGAATATCACAAGTTTGAAACGATTTTTTAACGCCTCAATTAAAAGGTAAAACCAAAGTTTCTCGTCAGAAATCGTTTTTGAGAGGCGAATTTAAAGCAATTATTCTCAAAATGCGCCTGAATTTGAAATAATTAAGTATTTTATTTGTCGTCAACAAACTCACAAATGCAAGTTTTCTTCAAAAGATTTCGGTGTGCGATCTTCATACTTGCCGGGATACACTTTAATTTTTCAATTCCAAATTGCTTTTCGGTCAGGAATTTCAAGAAGTTCTTCATAGAAAGTTTCCCACTTTCAAAAGGTAATTTTTTTCCGTTACAGTCTAAAATACCAAGTTTTCTTTCCGAAGATTATTGGAGGATCTTCATAGTTGGCAAAGTAGACCTTGTGTCCACTCTCTTTTATTCTAACGCTCAACAAAGCAAAATCTTCTAAAATCTTTTTGGGTGGATATTTTGAAGGAGATCTTTAAAGAACAGCTTCTAAGTTTCGAAAGATTTTCTTTTTTATTAGGGCCCAAATTTTGAAGCTTTTTCTAGGTACTTTCTTTCTACGATCTTCAAGTACGGTAAACCCTGAGTTTTCCCTGGAAAAATTGCTTTGGGTAACAGATTTCAAGTAGATTTTCAACGCACAAGCTTTCAAGTTTTAAAGGTTTGTTTCCTCGTTAAGGCCCCAATTATAAATTTAATTCCAGTTGCTTTCTTCCTACAATTTTCCTGCTTGATAAGGCAAATTTATATTTTCCCATCAAAAATGTAAATGTAAATGTGTAAAAAATACTTCGAATGTTTCAAAACCTTTTATTTTCCAACTAAACCATAAGTTTTATCCAAAAATTGTAAGCTTGACAAAGCAAATCTAGACTTTCTGTTAGAATACGTTTTTGAGGGGATTTTTGAATTTCAAGCAAATCCCCAAAGAAAAGCTTCTTAGTATTTTCTATTAATTTTCTATTAAGCCCCATTTCAAGAAACTAGCAATCTTCTAAAGTCGATTTTGGGTGGTGATTTTGAAGCAGATCTTCAAAAAACAGCTTCCAAGTTTCGATGGCTTTTCTTTCATGATTAAGGCGCAAATTTAGCCGTTTTTGTTAGGTATTTTCTTTTCACGATCTTCAAGTTTGACGAGGCATATGTTAGTTTTCTGTTGAAAAATCGATTTTGTTTAACCGATTTCAAGTAGGTTTTCAAAGCAAAAACTCCCAAGTTTTAAGACTTTTTTGTCGTTCAGGCCCCAATTATAAAGTGCTTTCTATCTACGATTTTCTTGCTTCATATGGAAAATTTAGATTTTCTTGACAAAAATTGCTTTCGGGTGGCGAATTTCGAGCGAATCTGCAAAAAAAGCTTTCACGCCTTGAAACCTTTCTAATTTGCCCCCGAATCATCAGTTTCGTCCAAGATATTTAAGCTTGACAAAGCAAATTTAGACTTTCTCTTAAAATAAAACGTCCTTTGAGGGCCAATTTAAAGCAAAACCTCAAAGAAAAGCTTCCTTCAGAAGTTTTTTTATCCGATTTTCTAGTCTAACAGTGTAGATCTTGATTTTTTGCTCTTCAAAAATCGCTTGTAGGGGGCAAATTGCAAATGGTTCTTCGAAAAATTAACTCCCACGGTTTGAAATATTTCCCTCTTTCGCTATGGAAAAACTCTAAGATTTCTTCACGTGCTCTCATTCAACTTGACAAATTTCGAAGGCTTTTTCTTGTCGTTAGACCGCAATTTATAAGTCTGCTTCAGGTGATTTCTTCCTACGATCTTCAAGCTTGACAAGATAAAAAAATCCTGATTTTCTCTTGAGAAATCGTTTTTGGTTAACGAATTTTGAGTAGATTTTCACAGGAAATCTTCTATATTTCGAAACTGTCTTGTTTCAGAAGTCTTCTCCTGGAAGGTTTCTCCAAGGGCCCCCTTTTATATCTTTATGCTCGACAAGACAAAATCTTCTAAAATCGCTTTTGGGTGATTTTCAAGAAGATCTTCAAAGAACAGCTTCCAAGTTTCGAAGGGCCAAATTAAAACCAAATGTCTTTAGGTAAGTGCCTACTTTCTTGTCACGGCCTTCAAGTTTGGCAAGGTAAACTTTGATTAAAGCAGATTTGCAAAGACAAAACTCTCAAGTTTTAAAGGCTTTTTTTGTTAAGCCCTCAATTAAAAAGTTCTCTCCAGGTACAGAAAGCACTACGATTGTCCAGTTTCAGACGGTAACATTAGATTTTCTCATAAAAAATCGCTTTTGGGTGGCGATTTTTTAAAAAAAGGTTCCAGCTTTCAAAACCTTTTTAATTACCCCAAAAACCATCAGTTTTACTCAGGATTGTAAGCTTCAAACAAAACGCTTCTTGCGCCCAATTTCAAGCAAATTCTCACAGAAAAGCTTAAATTAATCCCCAAATTTAATAGTTTTCTGCAGGAGCTATTTTGTACGATCTTCAAGTTACGTCAACCTTGATTTTTTGCTCTTTATGAATTGCTTTTAGATGGCGAATTTCAAGCAGATTTTTAAGGAAAAGAGTCGCCTTTTTGAAGTACTTTTGATTGGGCCGTGAAGACCCTAAACGATAACTCATTCTACCATCTTCATGCTTGGTAAGCTAAAGCAGTTCTACTGCCTGCTGAAACTTGCGATTTGCAACTGAAAACCCGTTGAATGTAGATCAGTTGGCGATTTAAAAGCCGGAACAGGCCAACAGTAAACCGTTTAGGGGCGAGAGAAGTTTCAACCGCTCCGCGAAGCATGAAAGTTTGGGCAAGTGATCGGAAAAAACTTTACAAAAAAATCCTGTATAAGCGCCGAAGGCCAGGCACTGCTCAAGTGCCCTGCGGGGCCGACCAAGGGATGGAAGAAGAAAGCAGCTGGGGCGGCTTCTTTGAAGTCCGCACAGCGCCCGTTTCATATTGTTTCCGGCTGCTAAGGACCTCTATTATGTAAACAACGTGGCCGTTTGAAGTCGCCGATTGCCGAACCGGTCGTAAACCATCCCGCAAATGAGATAGGCCACTCTCTTCAGCACCGAGTAGCTTCAAAGCTGATAAGAATAAGCCGGATAAATGGTCTCCGAAGTGAACAAATGATAGTTTTTGGAATTTACATGCGGCGCAAGTTGCATTTTGTGACCACCCTGTTTACACACCAGAGCCTATCGGCTGTTCAAAGAGAAAATCCCCGGCCAGGAATTATGTCATACATATTATAATCTTTAAATGCCAAGCGGTAGCCATAAAATCGACTTCAAAACCGGCCGCTAAATTTATTGAAAGGCGCCGACCGAGGACTATCTTCATCATTGATTTTTAATCACCACAAACCATTTAAGATATTTAACTTTTGACTCCCTGGAAACGACATTATTTATGGGGGGCAATTAAAATATATTAATTTCGGTCTCATTATGGAGGCCCTGTCATCCTACTTGTTGGCTTTAAAAGGATTGTCTTAGGCGTGCTTAAAATTGGCCCAAATGCCGCAATGTTTTCCCGAAAGTATTCAGGGCCTGGAGTCGGGCTGGCCTAATTTTCAACTATGGCTGTTGATAAAATAAACCGCTCTTCATTGTACGGCCAAAGCCAATTCAAAAGTCAACCCAAAGTCTTTATCGGGTGCCGCCAAGTAGCTGGTTGATCTCCAGCTATGAGGGCGTGGGTGGTAAAGGCCAACCTGGCCAACTATTAAATTAAAGGAAAATCGATTGGCCAGTCTGCATTCAAGTCGGCGCTCGACGTGTGAGGTAAGACGACATTATTTCCCTTTTGAATAAATTCCAAAAATTCCTCGTTAGTCCCACATGTCGTCCAACTAGTGGGCGTTCTGGTTATACAGCAAACTCTGCCTCTGTTGTCCTTTATCAGCGCGAACAATCAATCTTCACACGAAAACCACATATTTCCGTTCAGTTGTTCGTGGAAAGAAAAGGAAAGGGCCAAATATGTCGGGAATTTGATGAAAGTTTTACAATTGCCACCGTGGTGGAGTGCAAAAACAGAAACGCTAAAAAAAGACCGAGGATTTCCAGTGAATAATAAGCAGCAGTCTGACGTCCTTATCAATGCCTATTCATTATGTGACATGAAAGAGGCCGCCGTCCCGGCAGGTTTCTGACTTTCAGGCCCATTATTTTCGACCATCCCCAGATTATCTCGGATTATTCGGAACAATGACGGCGACAGTGGTGACAATTGGGCGTTCTTAATAGGCTCACGTGTAATCCCGTGCCATTACCGGACTTAGCCTAATGGTGTGCATGCATTGTTGAATTTAACAGTTACGGAAACGATCTTTATTAATTAAACATTTACGTCCAGCTAAGCGGCTTTCCTATACATACATGCTTTATCCGAAGACTACCAATTCAGGACCACAAGCTCATTTCGCATCGTTTCGCCATCTCCTTGTAGTTCGCATGCACGTAGTATTCCTGGATTCGGGGGTCGACGAATTTGTTAGGATCTCCTCCCAGGTAGATAGGCTCGCCATACCACGTTCCCACCTTCCAGCCGGGCACGTTCTTCATCAGTTCCCTTTCTTCCTCCCGGTTGATTCGAAGCTGCTTCAAATAGGCGCGGTCGCGTTCGGCCAACAGCATAGGAAACAAGGCGAGACTGGCCCCCCTTGCCTCCAGTTCTCGGTTGAAAACCGACTTGTAATTCAGGTAGTAGAGATAGAGCGAGCCCGCGGTTATTCCCAGGTATCCACCAATCAGTGCAGCCCCTGAAAATGCAATTGGTTTATTGAGCTGATTTTTAAGCCAGTCTAACCAGGCCCCATTTAAATAACGAAAACCTAAGCTCACTGCAAGTTGACCCGGCAACATGCGGGCCTCAAAACTGCAATATTACTTGCTCGTACACTCTACTAATAGCGTGTACGTACAGTTTTAAACACAATTGATGAGCTTGAAGCCAAAATCAGCCTCGAGTTATGTAACCACTTACCGCTTAAAAGTGGCTTGATGGGCATCCTCTTGTAGTTGATGGGTCCGTAGCCGCCAGCAGGCGGTAAATCCTGCCTGATTTGTGCCATTTTATTCAAACTCTATTGTTATTTAATAGAAAAATATCAATAAAACTTGCAGAAAAGTGAGGTTAGTGGTATGCACAGTCAGATGATTGACGTTCAACGCGGCGTTGTCGCGCTGTGTTCTCACCCATCTGGGCGTGGTTCAGTCGCTGCAACTGGTGGGTGTTTTTGAGGAAATCAAACCACAAATAATAAATAACAATTTTATATTATTATTGTATCAGTTTCCGTTTAATTTGCTATATTAGTAAGTATTTATTAAAATGTATGATTGCGTTTGTTTTTTTTATTTAATATTTTTTGAATTAATTTTTCTCTACTATGATGTATAAAGTATTTTAGGCGTTGATTTTTTTAAAAATTTAATTGACATAACATAACTGCATTTCTATCGACTAGTTAGTTGATAAAGGTACTCTCAACAATAATAAAAAAACTTTCTTAAATTACTGCAACACTATACATTATTATTTTAATTATTATTAAATCTACCTTTATGTACAATATTTCTTCTCTGTTCCACTATCCTATTTAGAATTAATCTACACTCTTCATAAAACGGGACGAACAAAAGGATCGATAAAATAGAGACGGAATTTGAACCGAAGCAGCCAATTTTTGCGTAAAGAGATCAAGAGAAAGATTTTTTTTGGTCGTCTGCTCAGATTCAATGCCTCTGATTCATAATTTGTCAACAAAACTAGTCCCCTAAGCGAAAAACTAAGTTTTTGGGTCGGATTTTGAGCATATCCAAGCGTAAATCAGACTTGCAGGGGCACTTTTGACAAGGTTTTCTAATAATAAAAAACAACGGTTTACTACCTAAGAATAGTCGATAAATATCCGCTACACTTCTTCTAAGATATTCCCATGAATAGTCTAAAAGATCAGACTTTAGCTTAGTGATTGTCCTTGATTCAGAAAATTTGGTGCAGAAATTTGTAGATGTATAAATGAAAAATTGTTTGTTTATAATAATATTCCTTTTTTTCAACTATGATATATAAAATGTCGTTTCTTAGCCTATAGAGTAGTTTCTCCAAGTGAGCACCGATATATTGTGTTGCGTTCGGAAATTGAGCACCATGTAAGCAAATCTGATTTTTATGTTGTATTAACAAAAATGAAGGAATCTCACCATAGTTGGGGGAATGAATAGGAAAATCACAGGGAAGACTAAGGAAGTGACGAAGAAATCGATTTTACACTCATTTTATTTGGATTTTTCTTATTCGTATTCGCTGTTTTTTTGTTATCTTTCCCGTTCCATGGCGCTGAAAAATAGCTGTTAAACCAACATTTTGTGAGCCAAATCAAAGTACCTACGTTTTCCCAGTCTTCCATAGCGTTTGATCCGTTTATTCTGCATCATTTGGAGGTTTTTCCTTCGCTTGCTCAAATCTGACTTTATCGCGTCTTTAAACTGGTTTTCTGCCACCCAAGGAGGATTGGAAAAAAGCAAATTTTTAAGCGCAGTGAATCGCTTTTGGACCATTTCCAGGAGTTTCAAATGGCAAGTTCATGGTAAAAATATACAGTTTCTATTCGTTACTTTTGGTTTCTATTACCGCGTTTTTTATTCGGATTTTTGTCGTGTGCCTTAGATTAGCGAGGAGAAATGTGAGAAATAACCAATTTTTGATTGAAAAACTTTTGCCACTTTTCCACTTTTAACACGTGTTTTCACGGTTTATTTTGCATCATTTGAATGGTTTTTTCTTTGCTTGAATCTATTTAAATATCAATTTAAGCCCTGTTTAAGACTCTTTCAGGTCCTTTATACTATCTAAAGAGTGTTGCGAAACCGCAACTTTATAGGCGAAATGTTTGCCATTTTCTTATGTGTTGTACTTCTATGTAAGCTAAAATTTCATAATCTAATTGTTGAATTTTTGCATTCAGGTCTTAGTTTTTAGATTGGTTAAACCTTTTTCAGGCTCGTTTTTGTCTTCTAATAATGTTAAATATGGCTTATTTTAAAGTAAAATTCGCTTCATTTAGGTAATGTTTTCACCTTTTTCACTGATTTTTTACTTTAAAATTTGGTCTTACGTATCAGTATATTTTCAAAACATTTTTGTCGAGTATTTTACCTCAAAACTTTTGTCTTTGTCACAGGGTTTTTGCTAGTTGAATTTTCCGATTTCTTGGCTAATTATTTCCATAATGCAAGTGTTGTTTTACACCTACAATTAACAGTTTACTGACTTATTTTTTTAATTTTGAGTCCTTAGAAACGGAAGTTGGCAGAACTTCAAAAAATGGTTCTCACAAGGCTTTTGCTACTGTAATTTGCCTACATCTTGCCAATTTTATCTTATAGCAACAACGGTTAGTTAAAGCCAATTTTCCTAAATTAAAATCTGCAAAAAGAGATTAACAAATAGTTGCGTTTTTGTTAAATAACAGCGAAAATTTGTCCACCGTTGATAAGCTCTAGTTGATGTTCCGATTATTAATAATGACCGGTTTTAGATGCGATTCAGTTCGAAAAGATTCCAAAGTAGCGGAATATTTTGCGGTTATTGCAACCATTTTAAGCAAGAACAATTATAATTATTTCAATCCTATTAACATCAAATTATTTGATTCCTCTTCGTGCATGTTTCCTTTAAACAGTTAAAACGTTAAACAAATTGGCGATTTTTCAGTTGTTTGGATAAAGCGTTGCAGAAGGTTGTTTCCAGTTCATATATTTTTCAACTAATTGAAGCACTTTTATGAAGCAACTGCTTGGAATTTATGCGGCACAGTAAATACATTGAAATACAGAAAAAGCCTCTAAACATGAATGTTGTGGAATTTTTTGCTACAAACCTTTTGTCGTGCCCGAGGAGCTCAGCAATACATTGAAACACAAAAAGCTTCTAAACATGATTGTTTCGTAATTTTTGTTCCGATCCAGTTTTGCGGCCGAAGATTCTAGATCAAGGAATACATTAGACGCTGTTTTATATGATTATGAAGGTTTTTATCTAACTAAATGCAGAAGAAGCTTCTAAGCATGAAGGTCTCCCAAAGCCCAAAGGGCAATTAGAAAATTAAAATTTAATGCTGGGACAAAAATCTAAATTTCCGATGATTTTAAGTAGTAAATAAAACCTTGTGTCTTCTAAGAGTTGTCAAAATATTAAAGTGCTACTTGGGAAACTGTGGAAGTTTCTTTTAAAGAAGCGAGTGCATTTGGGTGGAAATTTCAAGTTTGAAACCAATATTTAATACACGGAGAAAAATTAAAATAATGAAAATTTCCACATAAGTATAATCAAGTGTCTTCTAAGAATTGTGAAAATTTCGAAATGCGGCTTTCAGCAGTTTGGAAGTTAAGATTTTTTCAAGAAGCATTTGGGAGGAAGTTCCAATTTTGAAATCAATATTTAAAACACGTACAAAAATCCAAATTTTGCGGGCTTTTAATTAAACTTTCCAAATAAGTAGAATCAAATGTGTTCTTCCAATAGTGAGAATTTAAAAGTGCAGATTTGGAAAATTTGCAAGTTGCGATTTTTAAATAAGCGAGCGCGTTGCGGAGGAAGTTTCAATTTAGACACCAATATTTAATACACGAACAAAACTGTAAATTTTGCTATATTTTAATAAAACTTTCCACATATTTAGAATAAAATGTGTTCTCCGAATAGTGAGGTGAGAACTTCAAAGTGCGGCTTTGAGAAGTTGCAAGTTGCGATTTTTTTAAAGAAGCGAGCTCATTGAGGGGGAAGTTTCAATTTAGACATCAATATTTAAAACACGAGCAAACATCTGAATTTTGCCAGATTTTAATGAAACTTTCCACATAATTTGATTCAGATGTGTCCTCTGAATAGTGAGAATTTCAAAGTGTGGCTCTGGAAAGGTTGCAAGTTGCGACTTTTTAAAGAATCGAGCTCATTGTGGGGGAAGTTTCAATTTAGACATCAATACACGAACAAAAATACAAATTCTGAGGAATTTTAATGAAACTTTTCACATAATTAAAATCAAACGTGTTCTCCGAATAGTGTGAATTTCAAAGTGCGGCTTTGGGAAGTTTGCAAGTTGCGATTTTTTAAAGAAGAGCAGAAAACGCATTGGGCGGGAAGTTTCAATTTTGACATCAATATTTAATACACGAACAAAAATACAAATTTTGCGGTATTTTAATGAAACTTTCCCCATACTTAGAATGTGTTCTCCGAATCGTGAGAATTTCAAAGTGCGACTTTGGGAAGTTTAGAAATTGGGATTTTTTTGAAGAAGCAAGCGCGTTTCAAGTTTAAAATCAATATTTAATACACCAAGCAAAATAATTTTTTGGGGAATTTTAATATAGCTTTTCACATAAGTAGAGTCAAGCAAGTGTATTCTATAAAGTGTGGAAATTTTAAAGTTTTGCTTGGGAAAGTTTGGAAGTTGCGATTTATTAAAGACGCGAGCTTTTGGGTCTAACTTGCAATTTTGAAATCAATATTTAAAACTCAAAAAAAATTAAATTTAAGGTTTTTTTTCAAGTATATATGGTATAATCTGGTGCTCATCTTTTTCTCTCTGATATCGCATTGTTCGAAATTATTTTCGTATTTTCCTGCTAGTGTTTTCATGTGTGTGTTTTTTAGTTTTCAGATTCATTTTCAAGTGTTATTTTCACTCATTAGCCTTGCTTAACGGTTAACAGAGAATGGGAGTAGGCAGGCAGTGGCGGCATGCAATTTAAAATTGGGATTCCAATCTTTCATTTGGTGTATAAAGTAAAGCAAAATAAAGAATACATAAATTGTAATATGCTGTGCTCAATTTCCTACTGTTCAAACTGCCTAACAGAGCTATCAAAACAAATATTCTCTTTTTACTAAGAGTTGCGCCCTATGAGAATAAAAAATAGCTTTAGAAATGGAAAAGTTTGATCAGCTAAAACGGCCCCAATAGTAGCTAACAGGGAAGTAAATTGCTTGTATAGACGCCAGCAGGCGACAATCGAAAAGTGTTGCATAGAAGAGCTAAAGAAGACTTTCGAGATTAAAAAACGCCCTAAGAAGAATTTGGCGAAAATATCAGAGCAAAGAAACAACCCTTAGCCTATGCATATCACAAAACTGTTGACTATGTAGTTAGTTGGTAGCTATCTAATCATCTAGCTACGATCAGCTGCTAGCCTGGTCAGCTTTGTCAGCTGCGCCTTGGTCCTCATCCTGATTGTATTCCTCACTTTCGCGATGCACCAGCACTTGAACCACTGTGGCCTCACTGTTTTGCCTGTTGAGGGCCGGCCGAGTGGAGGCTCCTTCCGGTGAGGCCTCAGTGACCAGGATGCTCACGTCTGAGCTGTGAGCGCATTTCTCCGACTGAGTCCGCTGGCAGCCGCCTGCTGAGCTCATTGAGGTCGGGCGCGCTTTCACCGATCCAACCCGTTTTCTTCGGATGATGCTTCCTCGCTTCACTGCCGGCTCTTCTGCCATGGATGGATGAAGACTCAGCGCACCTTTAACAGAGATCGAGTCGAAGTGTCTTTCTGCAACTGGTTGATGTGTCGTTTAAATGCACGCTACTGGTTTGCGCCGAAAGCAACAATGCATGTCGAGTGCCAGCTACAATGCAACTACATACAGTGAGTCCCAGAAATAATGTCTAAATTCCTTTAAAACTCAGTGGTTTGTTTTCTGCTGATGCTGATTCCACCGCGCTTGAGGCGTGGAGATTGAATATGGATATTTTCTTTAGATCACTTTTGCACGACACATCCAGCTGTTTCATAAAATTTGAGGGAAATGCTTAGTCGAGAGCCCGTGTGAAAAGTAAGTTTTGTATTCCGTCGGAGCATTAGAATGTGGATATTCAGTGCATTGGAGATGTAGGTAGAAATGAAAATAATATACGAAAGAAATACTTTTAAATACGGATTTTGACCTTAACTCTAACCGATTGTTATGAACAATATTGAATATGTAAATATTTCAATTATAAATTGAATATTGTCACCACGCTAAGAGCATGAGTGAATGATGAAAAAAGTCACTTTAGAGCTAACGGCCCATTCTGTAGAAAAAAAATTATATTTGCACTGGGAATTTTTTAAATGTCGATTTTTATTCTCAAATATTTTTTTTCCAAAAGGTGCACACTCTCTGAGTTCAAACTCGTTTTACTCCCTTTATGGTGCCGCTATCGAATTTGAGGCTGGAATAGATATTTCACAGCTACTTCCTGGGGAGTTTTGGAGGTTGTGGAACCTGCTCGCTTATTATGGATCGTAGCGAAAAATTGACCCCTTTTTTCGTCGATCGACGGGACTGCTTAGGCTCACTTCAGATCTTTTGGTTACCAAAATTTTTGCAGTTATTTGGAAGCCATATTTTCGTGATTTTCTCGAACACTATGAAAACTGGAAGGTTGAAAACAATACCGTTGGATCGTCCTCTACGAACCCGAGATTTTATAATTAATAGCTTTTTCCAATTGGAAGTCTCATTTTCCAGAAAAAAAATTACAATCAAAATTTCGAAAAATTTACCAAAAAATGTTTGGCAAATAAAAAAAATGTTCAAACTTTTTCCTGACAGTTCGTTAGGTATAGAAAAGTTACATGACAAATCAACTTTGGTTGGTTCAACCAAACTTCCCACTGTGAGCTACAGGGGGAAGACGAGAAAGTTTGTACAGGCTCTTATGGAAGGGAACTTTTCAAAATTCAGTAAAATTTTCAAATGACTTTAGAATTGGTTGAAATTGACACCAATTAGCATGGAGACAAATACGAATCGGCTCCATATCAAATCGATTTGGCAAAATAAAACGGAATGACGAAAAAACTCCATTTAACTTGATGCAATCGGTAAATTCTGGTACAGATCAACTGAAATGCTTCCCAAAAATCATAAAATGATGATCAATAAATTCTAGTATGACCGAAACATAGCTAATAGATGTGGTTAATGATTTTTGAATACCATAATGAGAAACTATAAGTTTCCGATTTGAGCCAGACCAATAATATGAAAAAATGATCGGCAATTTTCAACTTGTCCATGTTTTTATGTAAACAAAAATTCCGAAAAATTCAATGAATTATTCCAATGTGCTGGCGATGACATGGGTTGATAGAGGGACAATGAAGCTTTAAAATTCAAATCGATTTGATGATCAAACAGCAACCCGGTACAAAAAAAATGCACCTAGAGCAAAACCGTAATTAAAAAGAGCCTCTGTAGGCAAAAAATTACATTCTTCCAAACGTTCGGGTACTCGGCCTTAAATGCACTGGAAATTTTTTGGCTGAGAAAATTGTGCTTGGAAAATCGTCCAATCGGTATTAAGGTCTTCATAAATCTCAACTATTTCAACTAATATTAATCCCTGGCAATTTTTTTTCGAAAGGTTGCATACTCCTTGAGTTCGAACTCTTTTGACTCCCTTGCTGTTGCCGCTATCCAATTTGAGGCTGGAACAGTGTTTACAGCTACTTCCTTGGGCGTTTTGGCGGTTTGGGAGCTTCTGAACTATCTTGACATTTAACGCAGTTACGGGCAAAAGGGTGGAGATATGCACAAAAAGAGCAGTCGAACGGTTGCCAACATTCAGGGTTCATTATCCCCAAAACCGGTGCCACTGTCGATTTTTTTCGAGACCTCGAAACTCTTGCGAAGAAAATATTTCCAACAGTTGCGGAGTTATCGGCAAATAAGTGGGCAAACAATTTGGGTGGCAGTTAAGTCCGTCGAATTTCAAATTCCATTTTCTCCTAAACTATATACCAAAAGCATGTTAATAAGAAGTGGAATTTTGGTCTACAGACAACTCTTAAGTGAAAAATTTGCACATACGATTTTCAAGAAATTCCAAACTTTCCAAAATGTTTTCAAAAAATATTTCAAATTTTGAAATTTTTTGTTAACCATTGAGATGCTGCTAAAAATGCGTTTTTCGGTTAAAACAATCTTGGTGAGCCGCCAAACTTAAAGCAGAAGAGCGTGTTTTCAGTAACAACTAGCGCTTCACGTCTATGAAATTTTAACCTCTCCTGGCGCTGAAACTGTGTTCAAAATCAACTTTGGCCCCGAAACAACTTTTAAGGCGAGGTCTATGGGCTTTTTAAGCCTTTTTGGATTTCTGATAAATGTTGATCACTGACCCAGTTACAGGGTGAAGAGTGGAAGTATATGCAAGCTGGAGAGTTTTACGCCTGCCAATATTCAGAGCCCATTTCCTTCCAAGCTATTTTCCAAGCAAATTCAAATTTTCTTTCAGACAGTGAATATGTCGAGAATACATTTTGCAAACGATCTGATGTTCTATTTTGAAAGCGAGTCAATCGAAGTAAAAATGCAACGGATTTTCTTCGGAAAATCGTCTTTTCGTCCTTCAAATCACTTCAATCACAAATCATTGCAATTTTCCACGACATGCTTTCATAGAAAATCGTACGTTTTTCAACAAATTTCTAAATTTCCAAATCGGCCCGAGATTAACAGAGTTATGCAGAAAATTTCTACATACAAAAAGCTGTTTTCCCAAAAAAGTGCGACCTTAAATCCACAAAGAAAACATTGATAGCAGTTGCCTTGAAAAAGCGTCTTTTCGACCTTCAAACTCTTATGACTTTCACGTTTCTCAACCGATTTCAGCCTAATATGATTTCCAGACCCAAGGACTCGCGTTAGAACGAATTTGAGGGCCGAAAATCAGTTGGTAGGACTCAAAATTCCGACCTAAAAGACTTGAGAAGAGCAACTTCTAAAATTGCGATTGTTAGATGGATCGCCAACTTTAGCTAGGACACAAAGCTTGTTGTTCTTGCGGGGGTCTGAACTCTTCTAGGTTTTGGTATAAACACAACTCAGCATCCCACGGAAGCAAGTGCTTATTATCTTGTTGGAGTAGCGCTAAAATTCGTTATTCGGTCATGCTGATTTATAGAGTTGAGCTGAATTTTGCAGTTTTCCAGTCTTTCCCATGCGCCCTAATTCTAAGCTGCAGTGGTTCTGACCCAATTCGCCCCTGTTCCCAGTCGTTTAGGGTTTTCTCCAATATTTCCGAGTCAGGGAAGTAAACTTGAAGTATTCTTCAAGAGTTTCCTTGTGCTGCTGTATATTCTACGGTCTCAGAAAACAATGGAACATATTGATCTTTGGGGATCTCTACTGAGAACCTTTTGGAGTCCAGCGGTTCTAGCGATTCTCTTAGTGCTGGTCGTACAAGGTCTGCTTGTATGCTTCCCAGTTTCCTGTTTGTTTAGCCTTGTCAAAACGTTTCCTTGCCTATTTCCATAAGGAAACCCGAAAAAACGCACCGGAAAATTTTCTATAAATTTAGACATTACTTCGGGGACTCACTCACTCACTTAAAAATCATTGCTTGAACCACCCAGTATTTCTCAGACTAGGAAGCTTTGCTAAGGGACGATCGTGAACAGTAAATTGCTGGAAAGCGATTGTTTGCACTAAGTTACTTGCAATTTTCTTTACCTAACAACATTGTGTCCCAGGAATACACTAGGGATGTAATGGAAAATCGGTCTATTATATCGGCAGGTCAAAAAACAGTGTTAGTAGTCGCTTTTGAATCTCATCTAACATTAAATTGTTGCTCCCTTTCAGCTTTTGTACTACTTTGGTGTTTTTTAAGAATTTCAAATAGATATTGCGTTTTTGCGTCCACTAAACGCAAAGAGAAAATTTGTCGAATTTCCAAAATTTACATATCTATTTTAAACCCAGGCATTTGTAGAAAATTTTTCTGCAGATGTTTAACAAATCAGATTTTTGCAGACTTTCTCAGCAAAAATATTGCGTTTAAGGCAAATTTGTCTTATCCCGAAGTTAATAGATTCCTAAGTACAGGGTGTCAAAATGCACTTAAATTTGTTGTTTTATTAGATCCTTAACTAGTTATACTATTACCAAAAAAAGTGGATTTTTCGATATAAAAAACCGGATTTTTTTTTTGTCATTAGTAACACTGGTTAATAACCTTATTAAAAAAATCACCATTTTGACACCCTGAATCAAGGAAATTACAAGACAAATTTGCATAAAACGCATTATTTTTGCCTAAAGAATTTACCAGTAACTTTTGGCACATTAATTAGGAGCGCTCTGTATAATCGCTCCTTTCTCTGCTACTGAAAATTGTCGGTTTCTCGCGTATTTCGCTTCCGCCACTGTTTTCGAGTAAAACACTATAAAAATTTTACTTCAAACTCTTTGCAAGCATCATGATTTTTCAGATTTCTGAGTTTGTTTATTGTTGTTTTTGAGTGCTTTACTGCTAAACAAATAATAGCAAGAATTCTCCACATTTATTAAAAAAGCATCATTTTGGTTTGCATAGTTTTTCGATTATTTACGAAATATTTTTTTACTAAAAACTTTTTTAATTATTTTTTTTTGTGTGCTGAGCGCAGTGTTTACAAGCGAATCCTTGAAAGGCTAAATTAAAAAAACTAGTAAAAACACATAATCTTGATTTTAGGCAATTATTGGGGATTTTCTTCTAATATTTGGCTCAAAATCAGTCGCAGGTACAAAAGAAATGCAAGAAAACGTATCAAATTGAGCAGGGAATTGACTTTTAAGCCTGTAGAGCTTGCATCAAAAATGCTTGCTTAGGAAAAGAGGCTTGCCCTCAGAAACTACATTGCCTGTATGTTTGCATACGAATTTCTCCAGTCTCATTGAGTATATTGAAAATATCAGGCAAACATTTCAAAAACAGCAAAACGCATAACGAGAAAAACATACTAAGCTGTAGAACCAACACCCTGTAGCTTTGTATCTACAAGATGAAAATGTTAAATACGCAGAAATTTGCCATCTCGTCGCCCTCTGCGAAAATTCAGTCGCCCCGTAGGTATCAAGTAATTGTATATTATGTACAAGGGAAGTGTGAATATGATGGTTGAAAGGAATCTGTCGCTTTACCTTGAACTTTGAACTCCTTTCTAGGAGTAACTGGCGAAGTGGCGGCACTAGAAGAGTCCGGTTTTTCGACTGCATCCTGATGCTTGAGGAAGAAATTGTAGAGGCTTCGGCGTCGAGGGCCACCTGAAGATTTATGCACATTAAACCTTGTATGGGCCTTTTAAAAAACCGGTAAATTATTTAATGGGAGGGCAACACCCCAGTCCTTCTCTCGGATCTTCTGTATACAATAAAGAAGAGACAAGGGCAACCAAGCAACTCCCCCGGATGAGACAGAACCTAGACCAGGAAGTTTGATAGACATTCGGAACGAATGCTGGTTAAAGTAGGGGTTCAAAGGAGAAGAGTACTGACCTGCAGGTGTAGAGGCTCGTGGAGGTGAGCCACCCTCAGGAGTGGCCTGGCTCACTTTGATGCTGACCACATCGGCGGACTCGCGCCTCAAATCCAGGTCCTCCGGAGGCACATTGGCGGCGCTTGAGAGCAAAAGCAGCGGCAAATTGAGCCAGGGACCACCCAGCTCGCTGAGATCGCTCGCGTCTGAGGCCCTGGAGGACTTGCGAGAGGAGGCGCGAGACCCACGATGCACGTGCAGGAAAGTTGACAGCCGACTGCGCCAATCGCCCGGCGATGATGTTTGCGTGGTTTCGTCCACTTCCTCGGCTTCGCGTTCCTTTTCCTTCTTGCGCCTGAAGACACTCCATCAGGCTGGGCAACGAGTGGGCAACCACTTACCTCAAGTATTCCTTCCATGTCCTCTGCATCAGCCGGGCTGCTTTATCCTGTCGTTTCCAGATCCTGGTTGAGGACACAATTTCCAGTTCTTTTCGAGTGGGGAACTGCTTCTTGAATTTGATGTTCATCTGCTCTTGAAGCTGGAAATTTGGGAGGGTTAGGAACAACCAACTGAGTCCTAAGTAGACTAAGGTAATATTCCCGAGACATTTGCTCAGGAAAGTGTCTTGTACCCTGAGACAATTTATGGGGCGCAGTTCCCAAAGACTCTAGCATTTTCCGTGGGGGCCAAAACTGCTACATGGAGTTTCAAGTATAGTAAATCTACCGCTCGTAATCACACCACTCGATTTCCCCGTTTCTTCCAACCAGCAAAAAACAGAGCGCACATTTCCTGAGAGGCAGTTTAGGTCATGCAGTGAGTTTATGCGGGAATAATTTCTAGAATTCCCAGATTGACATGCTTGCCCTATGCCATTCTATAGGAAAAGGTCTGTTCCATAGACATTGAAGGTCTCGATTTGGGGTTATCATCAGGCGTTCAGTTCTTCATTTTTACATTTTGTTCTTTTCTGCTCAATTCATGTCACTTTTTAGCAAATAAAGTCTCTGGATCCAAGAAGCGTGGACATTTCTGCGTTACCCGTTTCATGCAAAATGTGTTCTATTAATGTCTAAGGTTTGGATCTCAGACCATCATCAGGTTTTGTGTTCCCAATGATATGCAGGATGAAAGTAATTTCGTCCACTTGTTCAGAGCCAGTTTAATGCGACTTTATCGCTTTTGGCAATTAAGTTTTTTCATTGATGGCAAATGTGCGAGTTGCCGCGTTTTGTGGAAGAAGACCATCTATTGTGTAAATCCTAAAAGTTTTGATTTTGAGCCATCTTCAGATGTTTGATTATACAAGTTTCAATTTCGTCTACTTGTTCATAGGCAGTTTAATGCCTAATGGGTCACTTTTGACAGTTAATTTCTCGAGATCGAGAAGTGATTGAGATTCCTTTATTGCGAAGTCTTATAGAAAAGTGTCTCTTCAATGGACCCTGCAGGTTTCCACTTTGACTCACCATCAGACGTTTTGTTTCCGATTTTTTATTTCGCTCTTTTTCCTCTGGTTACTTGCTGCATGCCGCTCTCTGAGATAACGAGTTATAACTCACCGGTTAATGAGTTATAATTCATCTGTTAAAGCTTTACGAGACCCCATACTGGAATTTTCACATCTAAAAAAGGGTTATTAACATTTTTTCTGAGTAACGTCTTACCACTTAGTTCAAACAACCAGAAAAAAGTAATCTGGAGTTTCCCAGCAACCGAACTGAGACTAAAGAATGTAGACGAGTTTTCTTGTAAAATCGATCTCTTCATCATTTTATGCAATTTTTGTGCATAAAAGAGTTAGTTTGTCAGTATTTTACAGTAAAACGTTAGGAAAAACACGTTTTTTCCGTATAGAGACAGTGTTGTTTAGAAATATTGACCTAAAAGTGAAGAAACTCCAGTTTTCAATACTTTTCCAAATAAACGATTATAAACTTTCCCTTTTTCAGTTCGGAGAAACATTTTTGGAAAAAATGCCTAGAAATAATTATTAGAGTTTTGTCCATAATTCGAAGTTGCAAAAAGTTTTACAAATATTTTTGCATAGCGGTTAAGGAGGCGAGTGCTCCAATAAAATGTATCTTATAATTTTTCACAGAAAATACCTAGCAGAACATTGTCAGTGTTTTAAGTATAACTAAAAAATAATGCGATTTTTGCGTGGAAAGAATTGTTTAATAGAAACTTTGTTAAAACTGGAATGACCTGAAAATGTAAAGGAACTTTCTCGTTCGAAAACTCGATATTTTCAGAGCCATGAGGGCGGCAAATTTTTCCTATAATTGTTTGTAAACTTTTTCTCTCTGGTCGTTTTTTAAGATATTCCTAATTACTGTCGGTAAAAAAGTGAATAAAATTATTTGGTTTTTGTGCCAACTTCGAACCTGAAAAGGATTTTCTAAACTTCCCTGCACACCGATGAATGTGGTGAATTTTGTCATTTTTTACTGAAAAAAAAAGAAAATCATCAGAAAATAATGTTTTTTTGCGTTTCCGATTAAAAACTTTTACTTTTGTAATCGGTTTTGGAGGAAACCTTAATGGTTTTCTCCAACGGGAAAAAACGGTAAGAATTTATTTCCGTATTTTGTCCCGAATTCCACAGTAAAAAAGGTTTTTGTAAAATTTTTACAAAGCTATAAATTTATCTTGTAATTTTTCGCCTAAAAGTTCTTCAGGTCGTCAATATTTTTAAGAGCAACTCTACAAAATCAAAAAAAATTCAGTCAAAACTAAAAAACCACATTTCCACATTTTTCGCTTATTCTGTTCGCTTTTTGATAGAAAACTTTTTGTAGAATTTGTTTTGAGAAGTTTGTAGTTTTTTTGATATAATTTTTTATTTATTTTTGAAACTGTAGAAAATTGAGCATTTAAAAGAAAGAGTAACTTGGCTAAAACTGGAAAATTCTGATATTTGAAGAGATTTTTAAAATGTTATTAATAAATGACCTTTAAAGTAAATCTAGAAAAAGTAATTAAAAAGTCATAAACATTTTCCCCACACTGGAACTGAGATACTGCGACGGTGCATTGGGTTGGCGCACCAAGCCATTTGCGCAGCACTGCGCTAACCTCTGAAAATTCACTGAGTTACCCAGGCCTAATGTCATGTCTCTCTTTACCAATTAATGTCTCCATATCTAAGACTGATTATCGGATTATTCTGTGTTGACACGTTTTATGGGAAATAGCTTCAATTAACTCTAAAAGTTCCGATTCCTGATTATCGGTTATCATCAGACGTTATGTTATAAAGTTTCTAATTTCGTCGATCTTTTCATAGGCAGTTAGCAGTCTTTTCATAACCAGGCCTAATGTCATGTCCCTCTTTACCAATTAATTGTTCCTGATCCAAAAGAGCTGAGTATTTCTAGAATATCACTTTTTTGCAAAAGTGTCTCCTGCATGGTCCCTGCAGGTTTCGACTTTGGGTCACCATCAGATATTTTGTTTTCAGTTTTAAAATTTCGCTTTTTTTCTGACGCAACCATGTGCATGCCATGTCAATGTGCTCTTTAACAATTAGTGTCTCCAGACCTTCTCCAGGATCCTATCTAAGAATTAAATCGACTAGCCCTAAAAGTTCTAATTCTGAGCCATCATCAGGTCATCATTATCATGGTAAATTATTTCAATCGTCTCGATTCTGAGGTTCTTGCAGCCAGTTGCCAGCCATTCTTCTGACATCGTCTGTCCATCGTGTAGGTGGTCTGCTTCTAATCCTTTTGTCAGCTCCTGGTCTCCACTCTATAAGTTTTCTGTTTGTTGCTCATTAGTTTTGTCGACTCTTGTGCAATCGTGTATATAATTCTTGTCTGTTGGTGGTCATAGATCCATTTTTTATGTCCTTTTTGTCATTGTTTAATTTTCTGTTTAGATTTGTGAGACTTTTATACGGTTCTCTTTTATACGATACCTTTCTTTTCCAGGGTCCATTTCTATAGAGGTCTCACCGCTCTTTGGTCGCTGCCCATTGAAAACTGGTTCAGAACTGTAACATGCCTAAAGATTTGTTTCTTGTTGGTGATGATAAAGTCAGTCTCAATCCCGAATTCTCCATCGGGGCTCGGCCATGGCCATCTTCAATGATCCTTTTGGTACAAGACGCTGTTCGGTTGAAACAGGTAGGTTCTCTTCATCAGGTACTTTAATATAAACCGCCTAATTTCTCCAAAATGTTCATAGGAAGTTTAATGCCTGATGTGCCATCAACTCTTATCAACTGATTTGTCCAGACCCCAAAAAGATGGATATTTCTAAATTGCCACGTCCTATAGAAAAAATTTTTCTTGCATGGAACCTAAAGGTCAATTTTGGCTGATTTCTTCTCCCTTTGGCTCTTGTTCTTGCAACCGTGAGTCAATAATCCTTTCATCTTTTTGCCGTTCTTTATGTACTTATTTCATCTGATGGCTGGACTCTTTTCTCATCCCATTGCTCCTCTTTTCGCTTTTGCTCGTTTATGCGTGCCATCCTCTTGCGCAGTCGTGTCCATGCAATAATTAGCAACTCTCGCGCTTCCAGCTGCTTGATTCATCTGTAGAACTGGTAGACAGTTCAAATTGGATGATCAAGTTGCAGCAACCGCTGCAGACAATTTGTGTTATCCGCCACCAGCAACGCATCGTCTGCATAGTTCGAGATATTTGCGCGTTTGCTTCCCGATATGCAAACTTAATTAAGCTCGTCGAGCAATGTTTGAGTGTATTCTCCTAGTTCGTCCACAACATCGTCCTAGCTGGATCCCAACTAACGCCTTGGTCAAGTCCCCGTTTTTTTCAACAAATTTAGTTCAGCTTTTATGTTTTCTTCTAAATTATGCAACTCTAGTTCACTATTAGCTTCCCTTCTAAGTTGTACCTAAGTAACCTCCGGTTCCTACCCAGAAGATCCCAGTGTGCATTTGGCTGCTTTGGTGCAACTGAAATTCAATATCTGCCATACCTGTCTGAAGTTATCAGTCTCCTCCACATGTCCCAACACGTGCTTAACCAGAGAATGAAGAATGTCCAAACAGTGGATTTTGTTCCCCCTGCAAATGGGCAGGTTAAAGCTGACCAGAGCCACTGTGTTGGGCTTGGCGATGCCCAGTGGCGGGTCTAGCGACGCTATGAAGTCCGACAGTTGGGCAAATCGGATAAATTGCGTCGCATGAGGATCGTACCTAAAGACATTGAATCGTTAACATCGTCAAGACTAGGGGTCTTTGGATGTAATCCCGACACTCACTTGCTCCATCGAATGTAGAACATCTCTAGATCGTCCTCCACTATACCGATTTCCTCCTCCTGATGGGCCTGGTTGAAGTTCTCCAGAATGATCGCAATGTACATGTTGATCACGATCATGTAGTTGATGATGATGAAGCTGGTGAAGTAGATGATGGAGAGGAGGGGGTAGCCGCAGTTGCCATTCGTCTGGTTCCGGTAGTGGGGATCGCAGTCGGGGTACTCGATCATGAGGGACTCAAGCACGTCGTTCCATCCAGCCGATGTGATCAAGCGGAAGAGCAGATGCATGGATCGGCCGAATGTTTCGAAATTTACCATATCGTCCAGAGCACCTAGGAATATTGCAGGTATTAATGACTCAAGATCCAAAAGAAGGTACTGTTGAATGCTTTAGAAACAGTTCATAAAGCGAAGGGCTTTCTACTGCCGAGGTCTATAGCGCAACAAATTTTGCTCTCAGAATTGGGGGAATGAAGCAACGTGAGAAAACACGTCAGGCATGGGTAACACTGTGTTGAGTTGGACTTTTGAGTTGTTGCCGTTCTGTTGCGCTAATGAGTTATAACTCAGCTCGTCTTATCGCGTCGCACATTGAATTACACTTATTTCGAGGTCCGGTACCGGAATTTTAAAACTTAAAAAAGCAGATCACCACATTTTTTGGCCAAATATTCAAGAAAAATTGCCACATTTATAAGGAAAAGAATTACATGTCAGGCAAAAAGTCAGTTAAGTTATAATGTGAATTTGGTTTCGATTGAGCTCTTGGTTACTTCACAAGAATTTTTCAAGCTTGAAATAAAAGGCGAAATTTCAATATGATGTACAAGATTAGGCGAAAATGTTATGCATTCTATCATTTCTTTGCCCATTTCTGAGTAGCATATTGAGCTGGAGCACTGGATAGAGCATTAAATGGCATATTTTGACTGAAGCAGAGCAATAAATCATCGAAAAGGCGAACAGCAAATGATTAAATGATCATGTGTATTTCTTACTTCGGTGCATTTTCTTCGAAAGGGTGTAAGAATATTCAGTTTGATATCGACAATGGACGAAATCGGTCGATAATCCTTTGTGAATCATATCGCAGTAAAAGTGTATTGAATTTTCTGAGGATTTATGGGAAAAAATGGAGGATGGGGCGCCAGCTTGCAGAAAGCTGGTAAGTATGACCTGAAATATGTAAATATTTTAGCATAAACTGAGTTTAGTTTTCTGACAAGCAACTGAAGTTTTATGGATTCTTTATATTTCCTTGTCTTTGCTGCGGTGATGGAAGTTGTCTGCTGAAATCCGAGCCAAGAGCTTCTGCAAGGCGTGCTTTACGCAGTTTTTGCAACGTTTGAACGCAACATTTTAACTCGTTTTCTTGGCTAACCGACCCGGAGAGGATATTTTTCCTGAAAGACGTTTTTTTTGCCAATTTAAATATGCTGATCCCAGTTTGCTAATTTTTTGAAACTTTTTTAAGAACTAAACGAGTTATGAAGTTATGAGTGCGACATGGCAGCGACTAAGTAACTTCGACGTTTCACCAGTTTTGAAACTCTATTTACTTGACGACGAGTTTGGCTGATTTCCACAAAGGACTTTCCACATATATTTAGTAATATTAATTGACTATCCAACGGGGTTTTGAGGTTTCAAAAATATTGAGAACTGAGCGAGTTCTGAGGCAAAAAGACAGTCACGACTTCAGCCGAGCAAAGACAACGTTGAAAAGTGCCAGCTCAATTCCTTTTTAAACGGCGGCTTGCACCTATTTTCCCCAGAAGCACTTTTCTTGTGGACTGTTGAAATTTTTGGGTACTTCGGAAAATTGTGGACAAATAAATAAAACCTGAAATAGTGTGACAACATAGCAAGAACCAGTTTCAGTCACCCAAATTGTGAAATCAAATTGCTGCCAGTCTAAGCAAAAACCAATCTCAGGCCAACAGCACCTTTTATGCTTAAATAAGTAACAAACCACAAGTAAAAAAATGGGAAAAACAAATTTAAATATCTAAGCTTTTGAAAAACGTCAATACAGGTTTCAAATCATCTGTTCTTCACAGACACACTAGGATTTCAGCTCGTTTTGCTAAATAACCGATGCATGTCTACTCAAAACACGTTTTTTTCGCCAATTGGATTACCTTTATCCCCATTAGATAATTTCTGCCAAATTTTCAGAATTTAAGGTGTTATGACGTAAAGAGTGCGAGCTGGCAGCGACTAAGTTAGGGCGGCGTTTGTCAGTTTTCAAAGTCCATTTACTCGACGAGTTTCAAATATTTCGACCAATTATTAAAAACATATTTTAAAGAGCATTAAATGATCTTTCCGACGGTGTTTCGGGGTCTGAACACTGTTAAGAATTGAGCGAGCTCTGGGGCAATGAAGGTAGTGACGGTTGAACCTGAGCAAAGGCAAAGTAAAAAAGTTCAAACTCAATTTCACGTTTGAGAAAAAATGGGGCCAAGCAGAAAATTTGGCTACCAGCACTTTTCTTCGGCTAATTGCAAGGAGTTCACGAAAGTGTCGGAATTTTTGACAAATTTGAAAAGTAAAATAAGCTGTGGCTAAAATAGTGTGCCAGCAAGCAAGTAGCAGTTTCAGTCGCTCTAATTATCGAATCACAATCAAACAGTGAAACGCATTTGCAGCCAAAATAAGCCAAACCGAGTTTTAGACTGCGAAAAATTGGACATATTTTTCAACTAAAAAACTTATTCACACATGTAATTGCTTGGGAAAGCAATGAAACATGCACGAATCTAGACTGCCAGCTGAAATGGGATGAAAAACCCAGTTCACACACTCTATCATTTGTGCTCGTTTTCCTTGCAAACCGATCCAGATCTGCTCTTCCTCATAAACGGGACTTTTTACCAGTTGAGTTTTCGTCACTTCAGTTTCACAATTTCCCCCAAAAATGTTCAACGCTCAACGAAATATGAAGTAAAGAGTGCCAGTTGGCAGTGAGTAGTTAACTTTGAGGTTTGCCAGTATTCAAACTCCATTTACCCAACGTATCTGCAGATTATGACAAAGACGTTAAAATATGTTCTAAAGACAATTAAACCGTCTTTCGAATGGTGTTTTGGGATTTGGAAAGCGATAAAAATTGATTGAGGTCTGGGGGAAGATGGCCGCAACGACTATACCTAAGCGCAGGAAATTGTGCAAAATTAAAACTCATTTTCCTCCAAAACGAGGGAAAGAATCGATTTTAGCCGCCACACGTTTTCTACGGGCCATTATATGAGATTTTCGAAAATTTTAAAAAAATTTCCACATCTTGACAGCTAACCGAAACGAATAGCTGAACAGCGAAACAGCTGAACGAAAACGAGATTTTGACCAAGACCACTTTTATTCAGTTCTTTTCTAGACTTCTTGACGCACTCTAGAATTTGAGCTCGTTTTCTTCGCTAACCGATCCAGATATGCATTTTTTCGTTAAATACGTTTTTTTGCAAAAATTTAATTCTTCTCACCCCAGTTGGCTTATTTGTTCAAATTTTCATTCTTTAACAAGTTATGAAGTAAAGAGCGTAAGCTAACAGCGACTGTGTAGCTTCGACGCTTGACGGTTTTCAAAGTCCATTTACTCGGCAAGTTTTAAAGATTTCGGGATTTAAAGGACGAATATATTTGAGATCAAATTAAAAAGCCTTTCCAATTCTGTATCGGGGTTTGGGAATTGTTATCAATTAAGTGAGTTATGGGACAAGGAAGGCAGTGATGACTATACACAAGCAAAAGTAACGTTGAAAAATTCACACTTAATTCCTTCGAAAACAGAGACCAGCACTATTTTTTCCGATCAGCACGTTTTCTCGGCTAATTGCATGGAGTTTCTGGAAATTTTGGAGTTTTTACAAAATCTTGTAAATTAGAGAAGGTACAGCTCAAAGAGTGTGTCCACAAAGTAAGTAACAGTTTCAGTCTCTCCAATTTTCAGATTTATTTGCTGTAAAACTGAGCCAAACTGAGCTTAACACTAGGAGAATCTCTTTCTGTATTGCATTTTTTCTCTAAAATTGAAATTGTATTTTTTTTCGAAATCAAATGAAAGACATTTAATTTTTTCAGAAAAGCAGTTAAACTGTGCTTGAAAATTTAGACCGTCAGCTGAAATGCGGTAAAAAGTGCATGCCAGCTATGCCAATAAATCAGCCGTTCTTCACACACTCCAGCTTCTGAGCTCGTTTTCCTGGCTAACCGATCCAGATATGCATTTCCTCATAAAACGCTTTTTATCCAATTCAACTCTGTTCATCTTAATTTCAGTTGACAATTTCTGCAAAATATTAAAAGTTCGACGCATTTCGAAGGAGAGGGTGCGATTGGGCAGGAAGTAATTAACGTTTTCCAGTTTTCAAAGAACATTTGCTCAACGACTGTTAAAGATTTTGAGGAAGATCTTCGCACAAATTTTCAAGCCAATTAAATTGTCTTTCCAATAGTGTTTTGTAGTGAGAAAAAGGTAAGAATTCAGCGAGTTATGGAGGCACAGGAACGAAAGCAGTGACGACTACATTAAGCAAAGGCAACGTAAAAAAAATTAAAACTCAATTTCATTGAAAACCAGAAAAAGCAGCGATCTTGTCCAGGAGCACATTTCTTAGGCTAATTACTTGTAGTTTAAGAGAGTTTTACAATTTTTGCAATATCTTCACAGTTAAAAAATTCAGGGCGGAAATAGTGTGGCAACAAAGTAACTAGCAGTTTCAGCAGTTCTAATTTAGAAGTCCGTTTGCTTACAAACTAAGCGAAAATAAGTTTTTGACCAAGACTGCTTTTCTTTCGTAAATCAGAAGCGTAATCCAAAAGTGTGGAAAAAGACCAAATTTTAATTTAAAAATTTTATGTTATGAGAATAAATACAAAAACATTTTCGCAAGTTGTACGCATATTTAGCTTGGAAAAACAACTATGCGCTGCAACAGTGTAGACTGTCAGCCAACACCTGAGCCAAGAATCTGAGCATGTCTTCAAATCAGCCATTTTTTACTCACTCTCGAAATTTGAGTTCGTTTTCTTTGCTAGCTCGTCCAGATAACTATTTTCTAGCTAACAGTCCAGATAAAAATGTTGTTTCCTCAAATTCAATTGTCTTTAAGATTTAAAGACAATGAAATCGCGTTTTCAATCGTGTTTTGGAGTGTGGAAATTATTGAGTATTGAGCGAGTTCTGGGGCAAGGAAAAACCTCATGATTATAACCAAGCAAAGGCCACGTTGACAAATTTAAACTGAATTTCTTCGAAAACAGGCAATCATCGATCTTGGCCAACGGCACTTTTCTTCGCGCAATTCTACGGAGTTGTAAGCAGTTTGGAGATTTTTGCAAAATCTTGAAAATTAACAGAGTTAGAGCTTAAATGGTGCGCCAACAAAACAGCAGTTTCATTGAAAGTAAATTTGAAGTCAGTCTGCTCTAAACCAAGCCAAAACGAGCATTTCATCTCGAGCTCTTTTGTAACCTAAAATGCACGCGAAGTCCAAAAAACCCTACAACCATACGATAAACTCTAAACACCATTGGCTGGTGGCGCCCCATCTTCCAACATTCCAACTAGAATTTGCCGCAAGTTTATAGAGGATTTTAAGTTTTTTTTCAACATTGACCACAGTTTACATTCCTGGAAAACCGCTAGAACCAACTCACCCTGTTGCCGCACATGACCAAAAAGAAACATCCCAATAATGGCATAAATGAACGTAATCAAAGCCAGAAGAGCGCCTATGTTGAACAGGGCTGGCAAAGACACCACCAACGCAAACAGCAGCTTCCTTATTCCCTTAGCAGCCTGGAACTTCAAGGGTCATCACTGTCCACTTAAACCAAGCTAATTTACCTTAATCAGTCGCAAAATCCTTCCGATTCGGAACACTCTCACCACCCTCAGAAGTGTGGGCGAAACGGGAAAGTCGATCATAATATCCTCCATTAAAATTCCGAGGATCGAGGCTAGAACCAGCAGGAAGTCGAAAACGTTCCAAGGCACCGTAAAGTAGTGGTATCTTAAGCCGATCATCTTAACGATGGCCTCTGAAATGGAAGAGTCTGAGTCAATTGGCCGGCGGTTCATCCTGATTCGAGCCCACCTAAGCCGAAGACTGTGGTGAAAAAAGCATTGCTGACTTCCAGAATGAAGAACACTGCATGCGGTTGTCCGTAGTGTTCGATGCCCATGGTGAGCATGTTGAGGAAGATGAGCACGAATATCGCAATTTCGAAACGTCGCGAATTGGATAAGTCGTAGAACATGGCCAGGAAGGCGTTCATCGGTCTTTTGATCACTTTTTGTGGCTTTTTCCGCCCGAGTTTCTTCATGGCTGTGTAGTAGTGCTTCTGACTTTCTGTTAGGAACATTTCCAGCACTCCACCTTCATACTGTGCACGAAGGGATTGTTATAATCAAAGGCTTATTTTGGGGGCCTTCCTACCTTCTTCTTCAGCATGTTGAAGTTGTCGATAATGACTCCTATGAATAGATTTAGAGTGAAAAATGAGCCGCAAACTATGAACACCACGAAGTAAAGATAGGCATAGATATTGGCTTCTCTGGTCGGTTGCTCATTCACTTTCCTTGCGTCCACTGCATCGGCCATCACTTCCATCCAGCCTTCGAAAGTTGCCTGAAGCACGTGCTTGATTGCAGCTTACCTAGATTATGTGGACTGTGTAGGCTTACCACTTGGAACAAGGCCAGATAAGCGACTCCCACATGGTCAAAGGATATCTTGGAATTCTCCCAAGTGTAGTTCAGGTCTGCACAGTCCCATTTAGTCTGGACCACCTGCAAAGCTCAACATTGGATTGCTGTTGGATTGAAAATCAAACGATCAGCGTTTACGTTTAAGGACAGTCGCTCTCCATTTTCGTCTACGCACTTGTAGAACTTTCCACTGAAAAACTGCACACCCATAATGGAGAAAATCAGCCAAAATACCAGGCATACTAGCAATACGTTGAAGATACTGGGAATAGCGTACATGAGGGCGTTTACAACTATTCGCATTCCTTGCCATCTACTGATCGCTCTAAGGGGGCGAAGCGCTCGCAGCGTTCTCAGCGATCGAAGCACCTTTAGGTTCTCATTCTCCTCGATCAGGAGACTGAACAGTGAGACCTGCGAATTGGGAGGTTTGCTTATAAAATGGTTCTGGGTACTTGTTTCATAATCGTTTATAGTTTCAAAAGGAAGGGAGTCAGATTTGTGTGCTTTTTTCGCTAACTAGAGAATGAATAGGATTGGTGTCTGATCAGAATAGGATGTATGTTGAAATGCTGACTTTGTATGAGCTTCTTGTAAATTTTGAAACTGTCGCTGATTGAAACTTGTGACTTTTTCGGGTTTTTAGGCCATCGTACAATATAATTTCTTCCTGACGTTTTGCAATCACGAGGGGCTTGTATCTTTAGAGGTGACCCCTGAATATAAACCCTGATAAGGGTTTGGGTAAAAGTTGAAAATAAAGGCGCATAAAAAGCGTTAAAAGGTAGACAACAGAAATTTGCTACAAATGTCTTGATGATGGTAGTGATTCGAAACGTTCACGATACATTCTTAAATCTATCGGTGTCTTATGGAGGGAGAAACACGCTGATTTCTGATTTTTTCTATTTTACAATAGAAACAATTAGCAACATAAGTTGCATACAAACTTGAAAATTGTTGCAAAATCCTTGATGATGACTCCAATTCGAAACTGGCAATACTAATGACCAGGTTTTTCCAGGTTTAATAAAGCAGCAGACACTTAAAAAAACAAAAATTCACCAAAACGTGCAACGAGCCTATTTAAATTTCAAATTTTTTTTGGTAGGCCGCACATGAAGTAACACTTATTTATAATTTTTCAAACTATTTATAATAAACATTAGAAAAAAGAATCAAAGTTTAAAAAAATTAAAGACACCATATACAAATTTTTATGCTAAATAGAAACAAACATGAAAAGACCAAAGAACGAATGTCCAATTTTTAGTGAGAAATTTGGCACTGTTTTTTCGGTAAAATTTGATCAATATCAGCCAAAATTGAAGAGGTAGCTACACAAACACAGCTCTCTTATCGATTCAAAGTCTTCGGCAACTGTATCCACATCGATATTAAATTGCGAGGAAAATATTTTCACGGAAACCGCTGTTTTTCCAGTTTTGAACATTTGGAATTTGTTGAATAAAATGACTATATATTATGCGTATTTTTGAGAAGTAAGAGACACATTATTTTGCATAAGATGTCGCCGACAAGTGAGTATCTCGTCACAAAAAATCGTGCAGACGCCGCGTGTTTGTTTTGCATGTTTGAACAAGTCGCCGACAAGTGAGTAACTCGACACAAAAAAATGTTTTCCTTTAGTATGTGCTACCATTTTATTATAATATAATAGAATGATAGCACATACTAAATAATAATAGTAATATAAAAATATAACCATAATTTTATAACAATATATTGATAGGAGAAAGTTGATAAAGTAAATTCAATTTTAGAAATGGTTGGCGGGCCGCTTAAACATGTTTAACGGGCCGCGTTTTGTTCATCCCTGGTATAGGAGACTCTCCTGTGTCCCAAATAATGCCAATAAGTCGACTGTCTTTCTGTTTCGCAATAATAAAGGATTGCCAAAAATGCCAAAACGTGTCGATAGTTCGAACACGCAAAAAACGAGGATCTGCTTATGGAATAAATATCTAATCTTTCACAATTTTTCATCTTAGACTTTTTTAGTTATTTCAGTTCTGGAATAACAAGAGTGAAAAGAAAGATGTAGAAGCAAAAATACGAGACCAAAAACAAAACATTGAAAATTTGAAGCAAGACACTCATGATTGAAAACTTGAACATTCACTGACAATCCTTGAACATGGTGGCAGTCCGAAACTTTCATCTTTCACCATCATGAGCATTCTCGTGGGCAAAGAAGATACACATTTGTACCCTTTCTTCTGTTGAATCAGTAAAAGCTTGAATAAGCATTTGCAGACAGGAAAAACTTCAAACACAAAATAAGTCTGAGAATTGACAAAAAAATCTTTGATGATGGCAGCAATGTTCGAAACTCTTCAGGTTAGTAGCCTTTAGGTTTGCACTAGCGAATGAAGCAACGCGAAAAATTTAAATTAATTTTATTTCGGAAAAATACGTAATTAGTTAATAAGTTCAAACAAAAATTTTTTAAATTCTCTAAAATGATGCAAAAAGTTTGAAAATTTACTGTAAACTTTCTGATTTAGTGGAAATTTGAAACGTTCACGGTCAATAACTTCATAGTTTATCTATTTAATAAAATGGTCTGCAAATTTCCACTTCTTGGTGTTTGGAAATCCCAAAAGTTTTAACGGAAAGATGGAGCAAAAAAACCAAAACTACATTAAAAGCCTGAAAGTTCGCTTTAAAACCCTTAATATTCGTGGATTGAGTTTTTACGCTTTATTTCCTATAGACTTCTGCTGTTTAGTGAAACAACGGACACAATTATAGTCCTTTTGGTTTCGCAATACGAAATGTTTAAACAAAAAGTGCTCAAAAGCATCATAACGTTAATAAAAGTTTGAAAATTTGTTGAAACCTTCTGGATGATGATAGAAATTCGAAACTTTTACGTTTAATTATCCGTGGTTTTTGCTCTGTAACCGAATGTAGCAAACAGATCTTTCTTCTCAAAATAATACAAGCTTAAACATAAAATCCAGAAAACGCTCTAAATGAATTGAAAACTTAATTCGCTGACAAATCCTTGATTATGGTGGCAGCTCGAAACTTTAATCTTACATTATCTTTGGCATTCGCCTAATAACGAGGGAAGATGCACACTTTCCCCTTCTCCTCTTGGATCAGAAAGTGCTTAACAAACATTTGCAGGCAGAAAAACTGATAAACGCAACATAAGTCTGAGAGTTTGCTGAAAAATCCCTGATGATAACAGTTATATTCGAAACTCTTCCCGGTCAGTGGTCTAGGGCTTACACCAGCGAATGAAGCGACGCGAACATTTCAATTTGATTGTGCTTTGAAAAAATAAAACTTCAAACAAAAAATGCAGAAAAATACTCTGAAATGAAACAAAACATTTGCTCAAAACTGCTTGATGATGGTGAAAATTTGAAACCGTCACAGTCAGAAACGTCGGGTTTTTTCTGTTCGATCAAATAGCCGGCACATTTCCACTTCGTGGTGTTTCGTAATAGTAAAAATTTGAACAGAAAGATGCAGAAAGACTACTTACAATAAAAGCTTGAAAGTTATCTTCAAAACCCTTAATCGTGGATTGAGCTTTTTACGCCTTATTTCCTGAGGTCTAGGCTATTTAGTAAAGCAACGTGCATATTTCTATCTCTTTTAGTTTTGGAACAAAAAATGTTCAAAAACAAAAAATGCTCAGCAAAACTGAAAATTTGAAAATTTTCCAACTTCTTCAACAATTCGAAACTTCAGCGTTTTTTCACGTTCAAAAACGCTCTAAATGAATTGAAAACTATCCAGCAAATCCTTGATGGCGGTGGCAGTTCGAAACTTTCACCTTTCATTATCTTGGGTATTCGCCTTTTAATGAAGGAAGATGTTCACTTCAGCCGCTCCTGCATTTTTAAAACGCAAAATAAGCCAGAAAATTTGTTGAAAAGTATTTGATGATGGTGGTAATATTCGACACTTTGAAGGATTGCGATCTAACGCTTAAATTATATAAAGAAGTAACATAAGTTCCCTTTTTTTGTTCAGTTTTGAACCAATAAATGTTGAAACTAAAATTGTAAAAAAATCGCTGAACAGACACAAAAAGTTTGAAAATTTGCTCAAACATCCTTGATGACACTGGAAAATTACAACCTTCACAGTTTATAACTTGGGGTTTTCTCTATTTAAGCAAAAAACCCGGATTTTTCAACTTTTTGGGGTTTAGGAACAGCGAAAGTTGACACAAAAAATGCAGAAAAACTGTCAAAACTAGAATAAAAGCTTCCAAGTTTTTACTCTTCTACGTTCTTTTTAAAACCCTTATTGAGCGTGTCTTTTTGACAATCTATTATCTTGGAGTGCTGCTATTTATTGCAACGTACGAATTGTTATCTCCTTGAGTTGCGTTAATAGTAAATTTTTAAATAACAAATTGTGAAAAAGTAGTAACGAAACTTTGAAGTTTTTTTGAAACCGTGATGATGACATGTGAAGCTCCTGCAATTCATATTTCGCTTATTCATTGCAGAAAGTCGCAAATTTTCAGTCCTTTCGATTTCGGAAAAGAATAGGTTCAGGCAGAAGTATTAGGAAAAATCGCCAAAACGACAATTTCAACTTAAAAATTTGCTGTCCGTTTATTGTTGATGACGGGGTCTCGAAACTTTCCCACCTTATACTTGGAATTTGCTGTTCCTAATAAAGCCTTTCGCTTTAAAAAGGTGCGAAAAAAACTTCAAATCTAATTTCAATGCTGGAAAATTTCCTGCAAACTCCTTGATAATAGTAGATTCGAAAATTTTAGTGCTGATTATCAACATATGACTCATTAAACATCTATTCAGTTCATTCTGTCTATTAAACAAAGTACCGCTAATACTTCTTGTTCTGTAGCAGAAGAATACAATTTTAAGCAAAAAGTCGCCAAAGCGAAATTACAAGTTCTCTTCGACGCTTCCTCGAAATTCCTTGAAGATTTTCCTTGACTTTTTTGGAATATATTCAGTTTCGATAAAAGTGATTTTGATGCCATTCCTTGAACCTTGTGAGTTTTTCGGGTGTTTAAGCCGCCGTACAACAGAATGTTGTCCTGACGTTTCGCAAGCACGAGTGGCTTGCATCTTCAGAGGTGGTGACCTTCATTTTCAACTTTTACAATTTTGAGATGGCAGAAGATAGAACCGAGGGCGTGGCTTCGTTATGCACATAGCGAAAAGCTTTTTATGTTAAGCATTAAGTTGTATGAAAAGCTTGGCCAACAAACCGTCAAAGTTTCGAACTTTCAACATCTTCAAGTATTTGTCAACTTCAATTTTCGGGTCTTTTTTGCAACAATTTTTTTTAAAACGTCAACTATTTGAAAGGAAAAAGAGGCAAAAATGTGCACGTAGCTTAATAAACTAGCAACAATCCTACTTTTCAGCAAATTTTCAAAGTCGAATACTTACGAAAACAATTAAAAAATCCAACAGCGTCCAGAAACTGGAAAAGTACTTATTAAACCCCAGGGCGACCCACTTGAAGAACATCTCGATGACGAATATAATGGAAAACGCCAAATTGGTCCAATAGAGCAGCTCCTTCAGTCGGGGATTCTCGTCCAGATGAATGTCCTCAAAGCACAAGGTGACGCTGGACGCAAAAATGAGCACCAAAATAAACCATTCGAAGGTCGAAGTATCCACAATGGCCAAAACTGCTGTCCGGAACTTGGTCCATTTGATCCCCACTTCTGACTCGGAGCATCTGTTCAACCAGGAGCATCTGAAACAGCCATGCAGTCGGCCTGCTCAGAAAAATGCGTTTTATGAGCTTATTACCGGTTGTAGAAAGTAGCCGGGAAGCAATTGGAGGGCACTTTTGGGGGTTTTGGTTTGCCAAACCCCGGAAAGTTGCCCATTCCATCGATAAAGTGCCCTTTCGAGTTTCTCCTGCCTCCTAAAGTCAGCTCATCCACATAAGAAACCAGCGTTTGCCAAGGCTGCAGATTGTCTGCAGCTGCTTGCTTGGTTTTGCCGTCGTCCTCTTTGGATTCCGTCGTGGTGAGCACTTTGTCGCTTTTCGCATCCAGATTAGTGTTTTCTGTGTCTGGAAGAATCCTCAGTAGAATTTAAAAAAATAGCTAATCTGCCTACCTCTGCTGCTGTTTGTGGTGTCCACCCCAGAAGACATGTTTCTGAGCTTTCGCCTTTCGCTTTTGCTGTACTTAGGCGGACTGTCCGTGTCCTTTGAGGATGTGCTGAGAAACAGCGCATAGTGCTGCTGGCTGTAGGAGGAGTCCTTGCCCTTTTCCAGCAGGATGTCCTGGAAGTGTTCCGTGCGAGAAAGTAAAAAACTCAGCTTAGTGTCCACTTACCTGATACTCTGGAATGTCGTAGCTGATGATGGATATCGGGCGGTTCATTGCCTCCTGGTAGCTGCGCTTATCCCGCGGAAACTGCTGGGCCTTCTTGAACTCAGCTGAAGCAAAAAAACAGTCAAGAGCAAAGACAATTTTTCCCAGGGAAAACTTGCCAGCTTTGAAAGCCTCCTCATCGGCATGGCGTTGCATGACTTCCCGTACTATCTGCTCCAAGCGAGAGTTGTTCTCATTCTGGCGCTGTTCCTGTAAGCGCCGCTTCCGTACCAGGTCCCTGATCCTTTGGAAGCTCTGGGTGAGCTTGGACACATCACCCACTTCCTATTAGGGTGGAATTGAGGAGTTTTCTAAACCTGCCTGTCTAAAGTTACCTCTTTTCGATGTCGAAGCTCCTCCGAGTTGAAGCTGTTGAGCAACAGGGCCAAGAACAAGTTCAGCACCATGAAATTGCCCATCACCAACGTGGGCAGGAACACTGCCAGACAAATGCCCGGGCCCTAAACGGTTAGAAGTTTAGATTCAATCTAGTCTGTAGCCAGTGGAAACCGGCGACGCTGAAGTAGTTTGACAATGGAACAGTAGTTAACTTACGTCATAATCTTCTGCCCTCATGCAGTCCCATAACGGTTCAATCCATTCGCCGCACAGGATGCGAAAAATCATCATAAACGAGTGGAAAAAGTCCGTGAAGTTCCACCTGAAATGTATGGTTTCATATCTAGGCTGTGTCATCTGCATTGGGTAAAGTGTTGTATATATGATTACTGGGAGGTAACAGTCACTTAGAGATTGCTCAAGAACTTTAAAGGCCTTCCCAGGTAACTGCTACTCACCTTGGAACAGGATCTGGGTAGAACTTCTCCTCGGTGTAGTCTTTGGAGAACAGTTGCATGCCAATGACGGCGAAAATGTAAATAACAATCACCAGCACAAAAGTGAGATTTCCAAGAGCCCCAATCGAGCTGATGATGATGCTCAGCAGCACTTTCATAGTGATCCAGGATTGCGCCAGTTTAAGCACGCGAAGCTGAAATTGTTCCGTCAACTCTTTCCTTAGCTTCTGGAAAAGTTGTGACACACTTACCAGACGAAGTCCCCTGATAACTGACAGACCGTCGACGAGTTCAAAGATCAGGTCCAGAAGACTGGCGGAGACGATGATTAAGTCGAAAACGTTCCAGCCGCAGTTGAAGAAGTCCTTGCTCAGAGCCATGATTTTCAGGCAGCACTCGAAGGTGAAGATCGACGTGAAGACCTGCAGTAGAGGCATTTAAGGGTGATCCTCAAACACATCCGAGTCCAGTCTGGAGAGTTGGTACCTTATTCCCAATATCCAGAGCCCGCAGCAAAGACTCGCTCATTCCATGATGTTCCATGGCCAGGAACATAGTGTTGAGAACAATGCAAACTGTGATGGCCAGCTCGAATAGAGGGTCTTTGACGATCTGGTAGAGGCCCTGCTGGAACTGCAGCCAGCCCTCATAGTCCACGCAGCATCTTTCGCAGCAGAAGCAGTTCCGGTCTGGAATTTCCTGATCTGGAACATCTGTTAGCATCAGTGGGCCAGGATGGGGATTGGTTGGGCTCACCTGGAACGACGATTTGCGACAGATAGTCGGTTTGGAGCGCAAACAGCTCCGACTTTTTTTTGTTCGAGCCGATACCGTTGCATTTGATCACTTTGATTTGCTTGGGACTCACTGCTACTGTGACTGGAGTCACTTCCAGTCTCTGAAAACATCAAGAAGAATGCACCTGCTGATGTTTTTCCTGAGCAGCAGAGGTAGTTACTCTTAGCGAGGAGTGAGTGTGAGAGGCCACGTCCTCCGATGTGGCATCGCCCTCCTCATGATCATCCCCTACTCCCGAATCATCTAGAGAGGACTGTTTGCCTCCTTCGCTGTTACTGCTGGCTTGCCTGCTTTGCATGCCGCTTTTGGTCGGACCTGAAGTCAGTTTTCCTCAATGAGTAAACATGGAGGAGCTGAAAGTGCGGCGAACCTACCCAGAGGTTTGTTGGGATGAAGCGTGTCTGGATACTTGGGATCCGACAACTGAACATGTTTTTGCGTGGGATATGGAAGCGCCAGCTGTTGAGGTCTTGGAGAGCCGCTGGTTTGACTCTGCCTGGGACTGGGACTGCGACTGGGCGTGACTGATCTGCTCCAGAACCCCAGCCAAAAATCAGCAAATGATGGAAAAAAATCGTTTGATAAATTACCGGCCATTTTTCTTCGGCGACGGTTTAGTGGAGGTCGATTCGTTGTTCTCCGGTTGGCCTCCGCTGGTCTCCAAAATGCCGCTCCCCGTTTCGGACTTCGGATTGGTCGAGTTGCGATTCCGTTTCCGTCTTCGCGTTTTCTTCCGCGTGTAGGACGACAGAAGGACGCCCTTTCGGGCGTCGATCTTTTTGATTTTTTGCCGCGACAGTCGCTTAACGTTCAAATTGGTCGGATCGAAGCTGAACGTTGAGTCCTCCCGATGGTCAACCAGCTCCTTTTTACGTTCCTAAATTATACGCATTAAAACTCTTTGAGCTTTAGAAGCGATAGTGTGGATGGCCTATGATTGGAGCGGCGGTTTAAGGAAAACAACGGCAACTGCAGCATATTTTATGGGACAAGCGGGTCTACATCAATCTATGGTCAGTCAAGAAGCCATAAGAAGAAAAAGCAACTTTTCAAACCAATTATACAAAATATTAAAGCAAAATGCACAATAAATAAAGGTATTAAAAAGCTTTCAAAAGCGTTTTGAGTATATCAACGTGGACCCAAGATGGCACAATGTTTATAGCGACTGCTTTGCCCCCTGAGGTGCAATCTCAGAAAAAAAATAAAAGTGATACTTTTGAGAGCTGTAACTTCTCAACCACTGGGTCGATTTTAGTAACTCGAAGCTTCTTTAGAAGAGAAATACAAATACTTTTCACTGCCGTTTAGAGTAAAACACGATATTTCCAGGATTCCTAGTTGGCGCGTTTTCTAGTAAAAACAGTTTTTTTATTTTTAATGAGTTTCTTTTTAATCTCTTAATTAGTCTATGGGATTGTTTTCTAGAACTACTATGTTTCACTCTATCCGACACTGGAAAATTAAATAAGCCGTTTTGAAGCTACAGAGATTGAAATTTTTAAATTTTTAATGGGGTTTCCAACTCTTATCAAGCTCGCTACGTGAATAATCCTGGGACCAAATTGGTGCAAAACTGACCAAGCGTTCTGACGATGTGACTGAAAATGTCCCTTAATTTGGGAATGTTCGGAGAAACTCGAAAAATATGGAAGAAACTTCATACAAATATGTTTTCTAAAATGCTTCGCCTTCGAAAATTCCATAAATCCCGGATTTCTACAGCGTGAAAATGGGGGCTTTACAAGCGAACATTCCTACTCAACTTAAAGAAAACTCCACACTAAAGCAAGCAACAACGCGAAATTGCTAGGAAATATTGCATAAATGCAAGAAAATCTCAATTGAAGTTCATTTGTTCCAGAAAGAAAAATAAGGCTRAKATAAAAAAGAAATATGGACATTTCCATCAAAAACTTCCAAGTGAACTTTTTCGGAATGCTAAATTTTAGCAGAAAAATGCGGAAAAATCGTACTTTTAAACAGATTTTTCACATCGTAAAAAATATAGCCTAAAAGTTGCCATTTCCATTTATGTGCAAGCTTTCTCTAAAAAAATCGCAACTTCCAAAAAAATCCGTCGTTTATTGCAAATTTTTCCCTGCGTATGGACAGCTAATCGTTCTGAATAGTCTGAAAAAAGCAATAAAATCTCACTACAAACGATTTTTTCACATCGTAAAAATGTACTGGAGTAGTGGACATTCCAATCCAAATCAGGGCTTTCTTTAAAAATTCGTAACTTCCGAACTAATCAAACTTTTAAGGAGAAATTTTCACACAAATCTGCTTTCTAAAAAATCTGAGAGACTTCAAGCTATTTTGTATTTTTTTACATGGTGAAAAATGGCTTTACACGTTGACCATCCCAACCATCTGCATAGTTTCTTTTACAAAATCGTAACTTCTAAACTGAACATTTTGCCGCTTTGTAAAAAGTATCAGTCTGAAAATTCTGTTTCTGAGAAATGTCAGAAAAAACAAAACTGGCTTTTAAATTAATTTTTAATAGCCTGAAAAATCCATAGTTCCAATCCATCTACAGACTTTCTTCCACAAAATTGTCACTTTCGAACTGAAAAATTTCTAAATAGAAAAAGTTCGCATCAAATAGAAGATACATCGATTTAAAAAGTCTGGAAAATATAATAAAATCCCTTTAGAAACTTATTTTTGGTAGCGTAGAAGTATGGCTTTTCAAGTGAACACTCCCAATATGTACATGTTTTCTTTGAAAAATCATAACTTCCCAACTGCGCTGTTCTGGGATACCAAATTTTAAGAGCATACATAAATATTTTCAATCTGGAAACTCAGTAAAATTTATTAAAATCCCACTTGAAACTGATTCTCTTCAGACGAAGTCAAAATTTTCCATCCATCCATCTGCAGGGATTATTTCAAAAAATCGTAACTTTTCAAATGAGCGATTTGCCAATTGAAAATTTTTGCAGTCAATAGAACAATCATCGGTCTAAAACTTTAATTAGTTTTTTTTCTGCGGCAAAAAATGCTGTTTCAAGTGGACTCTTTTCTAATCCTTGTGTGGACTTGCTTTTAACCAATCTATCTCAAGACGTTTTTATACTCAATCGGAATTGCCGAACTAAACCGTTTTCCACTGGAAAATTTTTAGCAGAAGCACTAATCCAAAAGTTTGAAAAAATACTTTAAAATCTATGATTAAATTGAGTTTTCACAGCGAAGCAAATATGACTTCACAAGTGAATATTTCAAATCTTTTGCCTGATTTGATTTAAAAAATTGTAACTTTTGATCTAAACCATGACTTGACATGACTAAACCATTCTAAATTATTGGGCTAAAAACTGTCGAAGATAATATAAAATCTTGCTAAAATCTTATATTTTCCAACGTGGCAAAAATGACTTAGCAACCGAAAATTCCCATTCTTGTAAAGGCTTTTATTTAAAAAATCCTAACTTCCGAACAGACTTTCCGACTACGTAGTCTTGAGAGTGAGTCAATAAAGCACCAAACTAAACGAAAGTCGGAGAAATGTAACAAAATTCGACTTTAAACTGGTTCTTTAACGCCTGAAAAACTCCATAATTCCAATCCATGTGCAAACTTTCTTCGCAAAAACCGTAACTTTCAAACTGATCAATCGCGCATTGGAAAATTTTTCCAGCAAATACAAAAAGCATCGATCTGAAAAGTCTGGGAAACATAATAAAGTCCCCCTTCAAACTTATTTTTTGCAGCATAAAAATATGGATTTTCGAGTGCAATTATGACTTCCAACTATCTACAGGTTTACCTTGAAAAATCATAACTTCCCAATTGAGCGGTTCTCGGATACCAAATTTTAAGTGCGTACAGAAATTATGTCAGTCTCAAAACTGCGTAAAATTCAATAACATGCCACTTGAAACTGATTTTTTTTGACTGAAAAGTCCAAAATTTATAAAAAAGTATACATTCGCATCCAGGTGCAGGGATTCTTTGAAAAAATTCCACTTTTCGAACTGAACCATCTGCCAGTAGACAATTTTCGCAGTGAATAGAACATTTGATCGGTGTAAAATATCAAAAAAACTATAAAATATCACTTTGTCACAAGTGGGCTCTCTTCTATTCCCTGTGTGGGCTTGCTTTTAAAAAATCGTAACTTCCGAACAACTATGTCTCGATGGGACGTTTTCACAGCAATTAGAAGAAGGGACAGTCTGCAAAATGTGTTACCAAAACTTAATAAAATCACAATTCAAAATGGTGATCTACACCGTCAAACATTGGATTTGCATGTGAACGATCCAATCCATCTAAAGGCGTTTTTATAAACAATCATAATTGCCGAACTAAACCATCTTCCACTGGGACATTTTCACCACAAATAGAAAACGCATTTATGCAAAAGCTTGAAAAAATACTATAAAATCCCTTTTCAAATTGAGTCTTCACAGCAAAGCAAATATGGCTTTACAAGTGAACATTCCAAATCTTTTGCAGGCTTTCTTTAAACAATTTCCGATCTAAACCATGTTTCGATGGGAAATTTTCACAGCAAATAGCAAAATGGTTGGTCTAAAAAGTGTGTAACAATAAAAACCCACTAAAACAAACGAAAGTTAGAGAAATGTAACAAAATTCGACTTAAAACTGATTTTTCAATGCCTAAAAAACTATCGATCCAATCCATCTGCAGAGGTTCTTTGCAAAAACCGTAAAAATCTTCCCTCCCGAGCGGTTGTCTGCTAAAAAATGTCAAGAGCATTCAGAAAAAGTGCCAATCTGCAAGCTTCGTAACATCGATCTGAGAATTCGAAGTAAAGTAATAAAATATTACTGTAACTTATTTTTCGATGCGGTAAAAAATGCATTTACAAGTGGGCTCTATTCTATTCCATGCGTCAGTTAACTTTAAAAAATCGGATCTTCCGAACTGAACCGTGTTTCGACCGAAACTTCTCACAGCAAATAGAAGAAGTCATGAAAATCTATTAAACCCAATAAAATCGCGCTTTAAAATGATTGTCTGCAGCGTGAAAAATTGGCTTTGTAAGTGAACGATCCAATCTATCTACAGCCGTTCTTATAAACAATCGTAATTCACACGATCTAAACCGTGTTCCACTGGAAAATTTTCACAACAAATAGAAAAAGCATTGGTTTAAAAAGCATCGGTCTAAAACATGTTATAAAATTCCAATTCACATTAAATTTGATTGATACAAAATCTAACAAAGTATAAACTTTTCGTGGTGTTTTATTTCAGTATCTCGCAAAAAAATCGATTTTCTATTTTTTAAATTAATAAATGATCACAAAATTCTAGCAAACTCCTTGTCGCTTTTCTTCAAAAATACCAGGAGTCTTCTGAATAGCTTGCCAAGAATGCAGCACCTTGTAAAAGGAAGGATTCCATGTTCATATGAACTTTTTCCGTATTTTGTTTAGTGAAATATTTTCTAGGCCCCTACAACTCTGGAACACCCTGTACCAGTACAACGTTAATCAATTTTCAGATTAGTACCAGCCCAATTTTTCATCTGGAATTTTTCCCCATGTGCTTTTTGCTGTTTTCTTGTATTTTTCTGGTGCATTAAATGCTAGATTTTCAGCCCCTTAAAAAATCTACACCCAACAATTGCATATAGTTTCATTGAACAAGCTTACGTAGTAGATTTAAAGGTTCACGAGCCAATAAAATAAGGTCGAATTGAACATTAAAATATAAATTATTAAATATTCAGCACATCGACCTAGGAAAAATTCAATGCATCTTTAGAATATTTGCTTCAACGTATTTTCCTGAAAAAACTTTGTTTTTTTGGGCTAAATTCTGCTTTCTGCCTGAATATATTTTACCAAATAAATACGCTTTACAACAGTCAGTCATTTTTGAAAATGTGTGCTATTTGTCACATCTAAATATGTGACTTAAATATATCTATTTGATTTTTGCAATATTTGTTAGAATATTTATTTTCTATATTTTCGTCAATTTTTCCTTTAGTTTATCACAGTAAATTAAGCACTTTCATCTTAAAACACCATCAAACAGCCAATCAAACCAGATTTAAATTAAACTTGAAACAAAAATTCAGCAAAAATTTTAAACGTTTTATTTTCRYCTCATTTTACATCCTCCATATGAAATTTGGGTCGTAACTCTTTCTAAAGCTTCTTAACAGTTTCACCTTTYTTATCCATTTAATTTTTGAATTTTAGTTGTCGTTGGCAATGAATATCTGCGAATTTTGTTCAATACTTTTTCGATATATTTTTTTTTYAAATTCACTTTTATTCGTTCTCAACAATTTGCTGATTAATTTTTGGGTATAATGGTAATTACAAATCCGCTTTTTTTTAAACAGAAATTTATCTGCAAGAAAATTTMTAACTAAACTAAGTAAAAATTAGAGAACTAAGGAAAAAGAATAGACTCATTATAGAAAATTTATACAGAAACGTGATAATGGACAACCAAAAGAGAGAGAATCAATAGAGGGTCTGAGGCCATAACAAAAGTTATAGGAATATAAAAGTACTAATGACGAAATCCTACACGCTAAGAAATGAATATTTTTGGTTACCGCAACTAAAATTCAAACTAATCTGAAATATTTTAAAAATATTTATAAAGAAAACCAGTAGATGAATGTGCAGAACAAACCAAAATTGCAGTAATTACAGTTAATTTAAACGAAAATACAAATAAGCAGAGTCATGGATAAAATGACTATCAAAGCACTTGAAGCAAAGAATAATAGTTGAATAAAGTTCTAAGAGAGAATAGACTAAAGTATACTTGCAGAAAAGAAAAATATCAAGGGTTAAATAGGAAAATTAGTTGGAAAAAATAAAAACTAAATATTGGGAGAAGCAGAATTTAAAGAACATACATTAAATGAATTTAATTTTTAATTGTTACATACTTAGCTCCCTACAAAAATGTATCTCTCAGGAACTCATGGAACTCTTAGAACGCTTCAAAAATAAAATAGAAATTTTTGCTCGCTCATGAAGCAAGTTAAGAACAAAGTCTGAACTCGATTTTATTTGATAAGATGCAAATTATTTTTGTATGAAATGCAGAGAGAAAATATGCTAGAAATTTCACGAAAAATGTTGTTAGCTTTTGTGGTTTTTTAGAAATTCTATCTAATTTTCGTCGCTGTAACTGACGAAAACTATTTCTTCCTTCACTGTCACAAAACAAACAATTCAACTAATTAAAAACTCCATAGTTTATGTGGAAAGTCTGAAGACAACTAGGAGGCAAAACTCATAAAAAAGACGTAAATCAAGCTATAAAATACAGCTATTTAAAAATATGGTTTGAAAATCCGCCACAGTACCGTGCGAGCAAATAGTAAAATAACTTAATACGTACCTCCTGGGTTATTTCCGCCTCTTCCTCGTAGGCAAGAGCCACCACAGCCAGCATTAGATTAATTAAGTAGAAAGAGCCGAAAAAAACGACTACAGTAAAAAATGATACGCTTATTGGACCGCACGATGCCAAAACCTGCGAACAAAAAAACACATGCCGATGACACAGCCCTAATGGCAACCGGGCAAGGTGAACAGACCATATTGTAGACGTTCTCCCAATAGTCGAGGGTGATTAACTGGAAAGTGGTCAGCATGGACCAGAGGAAATTGTCGAAACTCGTGTAGCCATGGTTGGGGTTCTCGCCAACACACAGGCAGGTGTGTGTGATTGGACAATGTCTGGATCCAGTCACATTTCCACACAAGATTGGCTCTTCGGTTTCATTGCGTCTGAGCCAATTTTCGGAATTTCGCGTCCAACTGGAACAGGCAGAAAATTTCATATTTATTCGATCAACTTGTCGACTTCCCGATGATTTCGCGCGTTTGATTTAAGCGATCCAGACAGCCAAAGGGAACGCAAATAAAAGCTCCCCGGTCCATTAGGCGCTCTATTCTTTGACTGGTTGTTGGTATCATCTCGATTAGTCGCTTCGTCAGCTTTGCCCGGGTGATTGATAAACATGGAAAGTGATTTGTTGCTCTAAGTTGAGAGTCTCTGAGTTAAAAACGGAAAAAGTAGCGGTTTGTTTGAAGTTTCTGGTGTAAAGTTGGTAAAAACGAAACCGGAACCAGAAGTATTTTTGCATTAGCAACACATTGATGTGTGCTCAGACTTAATGAGCGAGCGGTAAAAACGGTTTCAAGGATCACTTTTTATCAAAGAAACGTTTAAACATCATGAAGAAGTTACGGAAAAAATCAACAAAACAAGAATTTAAAAGTGTGGCCATTTATTTACCACCGGGATATTCTCCAAATCGAAAGAAGTGGACTACAATTGAGTGCAGCGAATAATCGATGTAATAGAAAAGTCTGGGCTTTTTGACAAAGTACGCATGAAATCCTAGTTTATAAACTAAATGAAATGGTTTCTCAAAAAATTGACTGAAAAAACGTGCAGTCAGGAATTTTAATTCTTAGGGTTCAACAGATAGCATTTGCAACTCATAAAACGACTATTTTTCTAATGGAAACATTATTTTAATTCAATTTTGAATTCTCAGGTAAATCTTAATTAATTTTGGTTACGAAAAATATGAACGAAAATTGGAAGGTTTTTTAGTTATTCGGCTTTAACGATAAAATTTCGCATTTTCATGTCGTTGATCAATCCAAAATTTCTCCTCTGTCCACAAACTTTAGCTTGCAGAAATAAACCAGATAATCGAACAAAACTGTGCACAATTCAATAAAATTACCTGATGATTACGTAAGATCGAAACTTGTGCAAGAGATTCTTGCTCTCCCTATAAAATGCTCAGAAACGTTAGCCTTTGTCTATACTGGCTCTTGAGAAGAAAATTAAAATCAAATTTAAATTTGAAAAAGCCATAAAATTGCCTGATGATGACGTGATTTCGAAACTTTTCCAAGTTTTAGAAGAGTGTTTGCGCGACAAAACGCACGTAAAAGTGACTTTGAAGCGTCTCCATTTCCCGTAAATGTAAATGGTGGAAATTGGTTCTATAGAAAATGAGCTTAAAAATCAAACATCATTTTTACAAAAAAATAGAAAAATCGCCTGATGATGACATACAATCGAGAATTTTTGTCTATTAAAGTCAACTTTCTTTACAAAGCTCGGAGAAAATTCAGCAGTTTTTGAGGAAATGAATGCAATGAATTTAGAATTTATTTCCTAAAAATAAGTTCTGGGTTATAAAAAAATCTACAAAAATGCCAGACGATGGCGGCAAATAGAAACCTTAACATTTAGCGAAGCGACTTTTTCCGAAAAATGCTAACGAAAATAAGATGTGCCTTCAGTGGTTTCCTGATAAAGAAAAGTGGACCTTTGGATTACAGAAACAAACGAGAAATTCCAACGCAACTTTGAAAAATTGTATGAAATTAACTGATGAAGATTTAAAATCAGAAATTTTGTCAACGGTTGGAATAGGGTTTTCTCTGAACAAGATGGACAAACATCAGAATATATCTTCACCAGGTCGGTAGAAAGAAAATGTTCAACCTTGACCTACGCAAATACAGAAAAAATCGGGCTAAAATGTGAAATATTCCAAAAAACTGCCTCATGATAACGTATATTTGAAACTACTAGAGCGTATAAACGCGTTTTTGACATAAAAAAAAACTAAGTTCACTGATTTCTCAGAAAAAAACCGCCAATCTTTGGCCTGCAAAATGATTTCTGGCAGATCAGAAAATCGAGCAAAAATTTGCAATATTCAGTAAAATTTCCTGATGATTACATTAGACCGAAACTTGAGCAACTTAAATAACAAAGTTTTTCCCATAAAATCCTGGAAAACGTCGGTGTTTTCAACAGGTACAGCAACAAACGAGAACATCGATTTTAAATTTGAAAAATCCCTAAAAATTACCGGATGATGACGTGATTTCAAAACTTTTCCAGATTTTAGAAAAGTGTTTGCGCAACAAAACACACATGAAAGTGACTTTGAAACGTCTCCATTTCCCGGGAAAGTAAATGGTCAAAATTAGTTCTTTAGGAAAACAAGCAAAAACTTAAACCTAATTTTTACAAAAAAATTTGCAAAAATGGCCTGTTGATGACAGACAATCGAAACTTTTTCGTGTATTAAACGGCAACCTCCTGCAAAGAGTGCCTGTTTTCCTCTAAACTAGGCAAACAAATGTCAGAATATATCTTTGCCAGTTAGGTAGAAAGAAAATGTGAAACTTGGAGCTACGGAAATACAGAAAAAATTGAGATAAAATGTGAAAAATTCCAAAACACTGCCTGATGATGACGGACATTCGAAACTCCACGAGCGTATAAACGTGTTTTTAACATAAAAATACTGACGGAAGTCAGAACTGAGGCTCACTGATCTCTCACCAAAAAAACCGTCAAATTTTGGCCTGCAGAAATAAACCAGAAAATCGAACAAAATTTGCAGAATTCGATAAAATTCGCTGATGACTCGGTTAGACCAAAACTTCAGTACCTTAAAGAAAAGAGTTTTCACTATAAAATGCTGGAAAACGTGGGCCTTAGTCTTTACTGGTTCCTGAGAAAAAAAGGTTTAAACTGCACGCACAGCAACAAAAAAGGAAATTGAATTTAAATTTGAAAAATCACATAAAATTGCCTTATGATGACGTGAATTCGAAACTTTTCCAACTTTAAAAAGTGATTGCTCAACAAAACGCAGTTCAAAGTGACTTTGGAAGGTCTCCATTTCCCGAGAAAGTAAATGATCGAAATTGGTTCTACAGAAAACAAGCTAAAAATCAAACATCATTTTTACAAAAAAATTGAAAAATCGCCTGACGATGACATACAATCGAAAAATTTTTGTCTATTAAAAGACAACTTCCGTGACAAACCTCGGAGCAAATCGAGCAGTTTTTGCGGAAATTAATGCCGAATTTAGTGTTTTCAAAACATCTCTCAAAAGCAATTTTGAGTTATAAAAAATCTGCAAGAGTGCCTGATGATGCCGGAAAATCGCAACATTAATATTTGGACAAGTTACTTGCTTAACTGCTAACAAAGATAAGATGCATCTTGCGTGGTTTCCTGCGAAGAAAAAGAAACTTTTATTGCGGAAGCAAACGAGAAAATCAAACGGAAGTTTTAAAAATTCTATTAAATTATTTGATGCTGTTGATTTAATTGAGAAACTTTATCGACGTATGGAAGAGGTTTTTCTCTAAACAAGACTGACAAATGTCAGAATATGTCCTTACCAGTTTGGTAGAAAAAAAATGTAAAACTTTAACCTACGGAAATACAGAACAAAATTGAGCTAAAATGAGAAAATTTCCAAAAAACTGCCTGACGATGACGTATATTCGAAACTCCTAGAGCGTATAAACGCGTTTTTGACATAAAAAATGTTGACGGAAGTCGTCCGAACTGAAGTTCACTGAGTTCTCAGAAGAAAAACTTGAATCTTTGGCCTGCAGAAATAAACTAGAAAGTCGAACAAAAATTTCAAAATTTAATTAAATTTGCTGATGATGACATTAGATCGAAAATTGACCAGCTTAAGGAAGAGAGTTTCCTCTATGAAATGCTGAAAAATTTCGGCCTTAGTCTTTACTGGTTCCTGAGAAAACAATGTTTAAACCGGACGTACAGCAATAAACGAAAATATCGAATTTAAATATGAAAAATCCCATAAAATTGCCTGATGATCACGTAATTTTGAAACTTTTTCAACTTTAAAAAGTGTTTGCCCAACAAAACGCAGTTCAAAGTGACTTTGGAAGGTCTCCATTTCCCGAGAAAGTAAATGGTCAAAATTGATTCTTTAGAAAAACAAGCTTAAAAATCAAACATCATTTTTACAAAAAAATTAGAAAAATTGCCTATTAAAAGACAACTACCTTCACAAAGCGCGGAGAAAATCTAGCAGTTTTCGTCGAAATTAATGCTGAATTGAAAGTTTCATTGAAAGATGAACCCAGAAACAGAGACAACTCTTGCCTCTGCCAGGAAATTCAAAAACCAATCGATCAAGAAGGGCGATCATCCAATGATTCAAAAATTAAAATCGAACATAAAATAAATAAATCAAAGGAAAAATACAGACCGTATAAACGGACTATCCGCGTCGCAGTGAAGAAGTATCCAAATTGCAAAGAAACAGAAATGAGGATATGAGACAAAGTGCAGACTCACACTGAACAGTTCTGGAAAAGGTTGAAAGGAGAGGACTGAAATCGTTTGGACATATGTTGAGGATGGATGAACAAAAATTGCCCCTAGAAGTGTGCAAATGGCACCCAGCAGGACGGAGGAAGAGAGGAAGACCCAGAATATTATGGAATGAGGGCTTCTCACACGAGAGAAGCAATGCGAACATTTGCATTGCTTTTTTTCACCCTGCAGGAACTTTATTAGCATGACTTTTTTTTCAAAAACAGTTGCTGACTGAGAAATAATTGGACTAGAAAAGGCTTCAAACAGAAATAAAATAGCTCATAACAGTCAAAAGTTATCCAGTCCCAAAATTAGGGTAAACTTGATCGTCGAACGATTTTTGTGTTGAACAGTTTAGTACTAGTCCTTTCTTCTGGAAACTTTCAAAAGTTTGCGTCTAAAGACTGGGGAGAAATTCGAATTTTCATGGTCGTTAAAGCCTAGTAACCAAAAAACTATCCGATTTTGGTCCAATTGTCGAATTATTTTACTGTTGTTGATATTTAATGACTTGTTTTTTGTATTTTACTAGGCTACTGATAGCAACCCATATTCTAAGGGCCCGGGTATCTAACAGCTATTGTTCCAAAACCAGAAGGTTTGTTTTTTAACGATTAAATTTACTAGATTTCCACCCTTAATTAGCTAATCTTATAAAATTGCTAACACTGAGCAAATGATCATCGCGACCTTAGCAGATCAGGATGGCCATCATAAGCGTACGCAACACTTACTTGAACCAGTCTTCGTATGTAGCATTATTGTCATCCATCTTCAGGACGCATTTGTTGCGTAACTCGCCCTTGTACACCTGCAAGGCGAATAGGGCGAAAACCATCAAGCAAAAGATGGTCAGCGTCATTACTTCGGCCAACTGTTTGAACGAGTGCAGCAGGGCATTGATGATCGTTTTAAGGCCTGCAACAGGCAGAATGTGAGCCTGAGTGAGTTGAATACGATGAGTCGAACTCACCTGGTAATATTGATATCGTTTTCAAGGCACGTAAGACCCTGAAGGTTCTAAGGCCGGCCAAATTGGCACCCTCCACGCCAATAGTGGCGTACCCGCTGGTAATCACCACAAAGTCCAGCCAGTTCCACGGGTTCCGCAGATATGTGTACTTGTTCAAAATAAACCCTTTTGCTATGGTTTTTATTATCATTTCGAGCGTATATATGGCTAAAAAAATATACCTGGAACAAGGGGAAAATCAGCAAAAAACGATTCGGGTGTTTTGGTGAGGAGCCATGGTTCGGTTCTTGCATGTTCAATCAAGGAAATTATCGGGCTGGTTTCCAATAAGTTCCTGGGTGAGCAGCAGTTTGCTTGCAAAAAAACAATTTAAATCCAACTATTTCAAATTCAAACTGGCATATTTCACGCATGGGACTTTTTGTAAAACATTTTCGACAAGCGACTGCTCGTCGATTCGTTCTGGTCTCAGTTTGCGTTCGTGTGTAAGTTGTATGTGTAGGTGTTTTTCAATTTTTTTGTTTGCGTGTTTTGTGTTTGTTCTACGCTGATAATATGGCATCTGGTTTAGGTGCACTGAGAAAACAGCGGAAACCGATGACGGTAAGTCCAAGTTACTGTTTGAAATGCCGGATTTTCATTTTGGGCCACTGAGTTCCCCTGAACCTTTCAGTCTAGCGTTCAGTGCCACACTCATTGCCCTGAAAGCAACTGAAATTTTAAAAATTACCCTGTATTACCAAGAGTTCTTTTTCTGTCGAAAACCATCAGCAAATCGGACGCAGCCAGAAGAAATGCAATATTGCCAAGCACAAAAAAATCTGTCAATTGAACCCACCAAAATTTGTGCTAAAAGTGAATCCAGCTACAAGAATGGTACACGGTGGCCCAAATTGAAAAACGGAAGAAACATTTTGGTTGACTCAGAATATGAGCAAGTAAATTATTTTTTTAAGGTGGGCGAATTATCAAAATGGCTTGGTGAACAGATTAGCAAACTGCCCAGCATGCCCGAACGACCTTTCTGCTTCAACCTGTTTTATCCATTTGATGGATATTTCACATCCCCTTTTTTTCCTGGAGAAACGGTCACCAGCTTCGGCCGTCTCCTTTCGGAAAAAGACATCACAGATCAGCTGAGCAGGCTGAATATCGCGCAGTCAGAGCTCAAGAGCTTACTGCAAAAGCAGCTAAAGGAAAAGTATTTATTTCATCGCGGCGACATCTATTTGCAAAGCGAACGTCTCTACATTACAACTTGTGAGTATTTGAAACTGTTGATCACTTCTAAGCCTTTTTTCTTTGGTATTTTACCTTCTAAAATGACACAATTGCTTTAGTTTGTTGCTTTAATGGTCTTGCAGTTTTTTATATGTGAAATTTACCACATTGGCAAGGAATTTTGTAAATTATGTTTTCGGTTTTTCCAATTTTGCATGAGAAGTTCTCTTATTCATTTTGTTACCTTCATTTTGATTTTGTTTTAACTTTGGATTTCCAATATCTTCAAAATATTTATCAATATTTTTTTTATAATAACTTCTTTTATGAATTTGTTTTCTTTTGTAAATTTAGATTTATTAGAAATTATTTCGTTCTGTCATTGAAACTTTTTCAATTAATTTTGAATCCATTGTCGAGTGAGTTTTACATTCCAATATCTATTTGGATGTTTTCTATAAACCAAAGTTTCGAGCTTGTCTAAATTTTCTTAATTATTATATCAAGAAAGGGAATTTGGTTGTTTTTTTTTCAACAGTGAATTTATGTGTTGAAAGCACGGCGATTCCAACAATTTATTATATATGGTTCAAAATTCAATGATTATGTTAATACTTATTTTTGTGCGTTCCTCAAGATTAGCGATACTGGATTTTGAGATTTGGATTTATTTCTAGCCTTACAATTTTTCTAAAGATGTGCAGAATTTTTAACAATTGAAGTAGTTCTGTTTGTTATCAGAGGATGGACTTAAAATATTTAAGAGATTTGGCTAAAGAATTTTAATGGAAATTTATAATAATAACTAACTATTGGTCGTAAAGGAATATTTATTTTATAAATTTTTGGAAAAATGTGGCATTCCACTTTTGTGTGGTTTCTATTTCCATTTATCGTAATCTGTAAATTCGGGTTTAAATTTTTTGATATTGATATAAATTTGTAATAAAAATATTTTTTTGATCGTAGATATCGAAAATGTTGATTTTTTTTGCTCCTTTGAGCTTACGTTTTGTTTCATTTTGAAATATTTTCCTAAAATTATTTTTGATTTTATGCGAAATTATTTTTGTTATGCTTCTGGAAAATTTCCAGCCGCTTCTTCGACACTCGACATAAAGTCAAACCTTTGGATTATTTTTGATGCATGTAACAAAGTTAAACCTTTGAAAAAATGTCTTTCCACACCAGCTAATGGTTTATTAGATAAATTGATAATTCTTTTATCCAAAATTGGTTTGTTGTTCATATTACAGATGTCTTCATTAACATTTTCGCTGAATAATTTTTCAAATTTATGTTATGACTTATTTGTGCTATTGTGCTTTTGTTTTGTGTAACTTCGAAAGCGCTTTCGAAAAGTAATTTTGATCTTATACGAGATTCTCCTTGTTGTCCTTCTGGTAAATCTTGAGATGCTTCTAATACACTAGAAATAAAGTCAAACTTTTGAACGTTTTTTTGGTACAACTGAAAAATTTAAACCTTTAGAAAGAACAATTTTTTTCACGCCACTTAAAGGTTTATTAGAAAAATTGATAATTGTTTTCTTCAGAATTTGTTTGTTTTTCATACTAGAGATTTCATCATTGACTTTTTTGCCGAGCAAATTTTAAAATTTATTATTTTGACTTTTTTATTCGAAAACCATCCTTTTTGATAGGTGTTATTATCTCAATTTCATACAAGATTAAAGTCGTTAAAATATATTTTGTTTCGTAAATATCTCTTAGTAAGATTAATTTTGTTTTCAGTTTTAATTTAATTTAACCTATGAAAGTGCATTATTTCTTTAACTTAAGCTTTAAGATTTTGGTTGTTTCGGTTCGTCTTTACTTTTTCGTTCTATTCAGCTTATGTTTTGTTTAATTTCGTAAGCTTTTCCCAAAAGTATTTTTGATGTTCAATGAAATTCTTCCGTTGTCCTTCTGGTAAATTTTGAGTTGTTTCTCCTACACTTTTAGAAGTCGTTTAAATATATTTTGTTTGGTAAATCTCTGTTTGCAACATTTTTTGTTTTCCGGTTTAATTTAATTTAACCTGTGAAATTAAATTATTTATCTAACCTATGTTTTCCTTGGTCTTTTCAAGATTTTTGTTGTTTCTGTTGGTTTTCCTTTTTGTTTTCTAGAGCTTATGTTTTGTTTAATTTCGAAAGATTTTCGTAAAATAATTTTTGATTTTATACAAAATGCTTCCTGTTGTCCTTTTTTGAGTTGCTTCGTCTTCTCTATAAATAAAGTCAAACTTTTGAACGTTTTTTGGTACAAGTGAAAAATTTAAACCTATAGAAAAAACAAGTAGTTTTTTCTGGCCATTTAAGGGTTTAATAGGTAAATTGATGTGTTTTGTCCAGAATTTGTTTGTTTTCATATTAGGGGTTTTTTCATTGACTTTTTGCCGAGCAATTTTTCAAATTAATTGTTTTGACTTTTTTTTGAAAACCAATATTTTTCTGTCCTATTGAGATTATAATATATTAAATTTCGAAAGCTTTTCCTAAAGTTATTTTTGTTCTGATTCGACATTCCTCCTGTTGTCCTTCTGGTAAATTTTGAGTTGCGTTTTCGAAATGTTTAACCTTTTGAAAGAATAAGTTGTTTGGCGTCAGTTAATAATTTCTCCAGAATTTAATTGTTTTTCATGTTAGAGATTTTTTTACTGAGTCTTTGCTGTTCTTCCCTGTTCTTAAGCTTATCTGCTGTTTCTTCTGTTTCTGTTTGCTGATTTTTCGTCTCTTCGTTTGTCGTTGTTGCTGGTGTTTGCACTTGTATTTCTTCTTCCTCTTGGTTATAACAGGAATTTGAGTAGTTTGCCCATGTTTGTTCTTCCACATGTTTTGGGTCGATAAATTCCCACTTATCCGTTCTTTGCCCTGTAATCATATGCCATATTTCATCCCGAGACCCATAAAAATCATGTCCAATTTCTTTTGTGCACTTTTCAAATTGTTCTCTTTTAAATCTTCCAATCTAAAGCGTGCATTTTCTTCCGCATTCTCTTGCAACTGGTTAAAAGCACGATGTGTGCACTCCTATACTGGAGGAACGTGTTTGGAGGGCCATTCTTCTTTAATTTCTGCTGAGAACCAGGGGACTGGTTTTGTAATGCCTTGTCTTTCCCCATTGCTTTGGTTTGTTCCAGCGAACTTCTATGTTATCATTGTGTTATAGTACTAGTAAATTGTGTGAAAAATAAGCAAAATTTGAAGCAAAATGCCCGAGAAGAAAAACGTTATGGAAAACTTTTGTTGCCACTGAAACCCGATTCAATAAGAAAAGATTTGCTTAAGCTTCTTGAAGGAAAGAAGAACTTGTTTGAGTCAACCCAAACGTCTTTAGTGTCGATATAATTGGACTGAATCAATGTTTGTTTCACAGGCATCCGCAAGTGTGTGTTGATAGAGGCACTCCACAAGAAAACATATTTGATTGAACGTCCTATTCGCCCAGTAGGGCCTGTTTTCTACCTAACGATTGAGCAGCTTCGCTGGACTAGTAAAGAGACAGATCGATCCCGAGCGGTCGGTTGCGTTCTTTATTACCGGACCAACGTGTATTGTACCGCCCTTCAAATCCACGATGACGAAAAAGTACCGACCTTCATTGGACCGTACATTTTCAAAGATGCGCCGGCTGATTTTCAAGTAACCGTCAAATTTTTCATGATGACCTTTGATAATGGTGAGGAGAAGGAGTTTGCCGAGTTTTTGGAGAAAAAAACGCCGCCAATTATGACGCAGGTGGGATTCGCCATAGTCGACCTGGCTGCACTGAACCAGGGCTTTACCAGTTTTTCCAAAGTCGTTGGGAATTTTCTGCCCAATGCGCTGCTGATTAAAGGCAATTATGAGGCAAAATAACCAGAAATGTGAAGATACTAATTAGGTGTTTTTCAAATGAGGCGCTATTTCACCGTACTTCGACGAGTTGCGTTTCTTTTCCTAATAGTACCTGATGTAACTATTTGAGCAAAAAAAGTGCATTTGATAGCATTCGTTGTGTATTTTGCAATTTTTCCATGGCATCCTTACCAAAACCGCTGTTCAGTCCCAGTCAAGCCACTGTTAGTCTGCTTACTTACTCTGCTTCATCAATTGTTTCGGTCATGGCGAGGAAGACACAGTTGAGCAATATGGTGGCCATAACCAGATAATCGAAGTACTGATTTGTGCTTAGGTATATACAAATTTTTCGTATCGAATTAAAGGGACTAAATATAAAAATCGAGTCGGTCGCTGTGAATCGGTGAATGTAGTTTTTCCGGAACCGCTTCGAAACCACGCAAAATGTCTGAAACAAAGAACCATTCGTTAGAGCGAATTAGTAGCCCGTTTCATTCATTTGTCTTAGACTAGGTAAGAACATTCCTTATATTTCTAACTTTTGCTAACTATCAGGCAACAATGTTTCGTTTTTATAAAAAGCGTATTTGGAAACTTTTGAAACGTTCACTTTTAGCCTGGACATTAAGAAACTAGGAAAATAGCCACTAAATGCAAGACAAAATTGTCACAAACTTCAAAAATTAAACAGTAAAAGACGCTTATTTAGGTCTGTGGGTTTTTATAATAATAATAATAATAATATCTGTATTAATAGCTGTTGCTAGCAAATAAATACAATTTTCAAACATTTA